CGATTCCACACATCTTTCTTCTATAAGTCCTCCTGATACCCATCTCACAGTTTAGACAGCTAATGGCACCTCACTTCCTGTTGTTGGTCGTGGCACACTTTCTACTTCTTCCTTTTGAATTCCTACTGTCTCTCATGTTCCTAAGTTAACCATGCAGCTTATGTCCGCTGGTCAGATCACTGATCATGGTTGTCGGATTATACTTGAGGCTGACTCTTGTTGTGTCCAGGATCGTCACACAGGGCTCCTGGTGGGGACTGGTCCTAGGCGCCATGACTCTCAGCGTCTTTGGGAGCTTGATTGGCTACATCTCCCTTCTGATGCTTCTACCAGCCAGTCAGTCGGTTCCACTGCTTCAGCGTTAGCTACTTCATCCACTACTACTTTTGCTCAGTGGCATCGTCGTTTAGGTCATCTATCCGGTGCTAGATTATCCACACTTATTGGTAATGGGGTCTTAGGTCCTGTTTCTGGAGACACCGCTCTACATTGTACGGGTTGCAAGCTTGGCAAGCAACTGCAACTCCCCTATTCTTCCAGTGACTCAGAGTCTCAGCGTCCTTTTGATCTTATACACTCTGATGTATGGGGACAAACTCCTTTTGTTTCGAAAGGTGGCCATTCCTATTATGTGATCTTTATTGATGACTATTCGAGATTTACTTGGATTTACCTCATGTCTTCTCGTAGTCAATTTCTTTCTATTTATCAGCAGTTTGCTACTATGGTTCGCACTCAGTACGATTCTTCCATACGGGTTTTTCGTGCTGACTCTGCTGGTGAGTACATTTCGGCAGCCCATCGCCTTTTTCTAGCTGAGCAGGGAACACTTCCCCAGTTTTCTTGCCCTGGTGCTCATGCTCAAAATGGCACTGCTGAGCGCAAACATCGTCACATTCTTGAGACTGCTCGTGCCCTCATGATCTCCTCGCATCTTTCGCCTCATTTCTGGGCTGAGGCTGTCTCCACGGCTGTTTTTCTTATCAATCGATAACCTTCTTCTGTTCTTCATGGTTGTACTCCCTATGAGCGCCTATTTGGTACACCTCCTAGGTACAGTCATCTTCGATGCTTTGGTTGTGTTTGTTATGTTCTTCTTTCTCCTCGTGAGCGTACCAAGCTGACTGCCCAGTCTGTTGAGTGTGTTTTCCTTGGGTATAGCACTAAGCATAAGGGTTATCGTTGCTATGATCCTGTTGCTCGTCGCATGAGGATATCTCGTGATGTCACATTTGATGAGTCTCGTCCTTACTATCCTCGCTCTTCCACTTGTGATCAGTCCTCCACTGTCAAGTCTATCTCCTTTTTGACTCTTCCGGATTGGTCCTTTCCTTCTCCACCACCAGTTCCGTCTCCATCACCTCACCTCCCTTTGGTTTCTACGCCATCTCCATCACTGTCACCACCTCCTTTGCCGATGCCATCATCACCCATACTACCATCACCACCTCCTAGTACTCTTTTAGATGCTCCACATGAGCTATCACCTTTTCCACTGCACTACTCTCGTCGTTCACGACCCCTTGTTGAGTTGTCCTCTCCCTCTATCCTTGGACCAGCTCCTGCTCCTGCTTCTCGGTATGATCTTCGTGATCGCCATGCTATTAGGCCTGCGCCTAAGTATGGCTTTACTGCTGCGGCTATTGTTGAGCCCACGACTTACCGAGAGGCTGTTGCCCACCAGGAGTGGCAACAGGCGATGGCAGAGGAGATTGCTGCCTTAGAGCGTACCAAGACTTGGGATGTTGTTCCTGCACCTACTCACGTCACTCCTATCACTTGTAAGTGGGTCTACAGGATAAAGACTCGCTCTGATGGCTCTCTTGAGCGGTATAAAGCTCGTCTTGTAGCTCGTGGTTTTCAACAAGAGCATGGTCGTGACTATGATGAGACTTTTGCTCCAGTTGCTCACATGACCACCATTTGGGCCCTGTTAGCTGTTGCCTCTATTCGTCAGTGGTCCATTTCTCAGCTCGATGTCAAGAATGCCTTTCTCAATGGTGAGCTGCATGAGGAGGTCTATATGCAGCCCCCTCCTGGGTATTCTGTCCCTAATGGCATGGTTCTTCGTTTGTGTCGTTCTCTTTATGGTCTCAAACAGGCCCCTCATGCTTGGTTTGAGCGCTTCACCTCAGTTGTCACTGATATTGGCTTCAAAGCCAGCGACCATGACCCTGCTCTCTTTGTTCACACTTCTTCTCGTGGTCGGACCCTTCTTCTTCTATATGTTGATGACATGATCATCACTGGTGATGACTCTCGGTTCATTAATCTTGTGAAGAAGCGTCTTAGTGACCAATTCTTGATGTCTGATTTGGGTCCTCTCAGGTACTTTCTTGGGATTGAGTTCTCTTCCACATCTTCTGGTTTCTACCTCTCCCAAGAGAAGTATATTCAGGATCTCCTTGCTCGTTCGGGCCTCACTGATAAGCGTGTGGTTGACACTCCTATGGAGCTTGGGATACATCTACGGCCCAATGATGGTGAGCCTCTTCAAGATCCCACCCGCTATCGCCACCATGTTGGGAGTCTTGTCTATCTTGGCGTCACTCGCCCTGACATCTCTCACTCAGTTTACATTCTGAGTCAGTTTGTTTCTGCCCCAACTCAGCTCCACTACACTCACCTTCTTCGTGTCCTACGATATCTTCGTGGCACTATCTCCCGTCGCCTTTTCTTCCCTTGCTCCAGTTCATTGCAGCTTCAGGCGTACTCTGATGCGACTTGGGCTAGTGACCACTCTAATCATCGCTCTCTCTCTCTGCTTATTGTGTCTTTCTTGGTTCCTCTCTGATTGCATGGAAGACCAAAAAGCAGACTGCAATTTCTCGTTCAAGTGCAGAAGCTGAGTTACGAGCTATGGCAGCCTTGACCGCTGAGATCACTTGGCTGCGTTGGCTCCTGGAGGATTTTGGAGTTTTTGTCTCTCCCCCAACTCCACTCTTGTCGGACAGTACTGGTGCAATCAGCATTGCTCGAGACCCAGTGAAGCATGAGCTAACCAAACACATCGGCATTGATGCCTCATACATGAGATCGCAGGTGCAAAATGAGGTTGTGGCTCTTCACTATGTTCCTTCAGAGCTTCAGTTAGCAGATTTCTTCACGAAGGCGCAAACTCGAGCTCAGCATAGTTATTTTTTGTCCAAACTCAGTATGGTTGATCCACCATGAGTTTGAGGGGGGGTGTTAGATGTATTGTATAGCTAGCTGTGTATTTACTCCCTTCTTGAGGGTGCTTTCTGCATATTTGTATTGAGCTTTGTGTATACCTGTTTGGCCCAGTTGGCCCATTCAATCTAAGGTCCAATATTTGCAACAGTTCAATCAACTAATATCTCCTGGTGATAGGAATTGAGAGTTACTACTACTAAACCTAGTCATTTAGACACCGACAGAGTAATTTCCAGAGTGGCATCTGATAATCTGAATTGACATTGTTACATTGAGATATTACCTGCTTTCTGCCAACAAATTAAACTGACAACTGATGCCTTGAGCATGACCTTCAGCCTTCAGAGTCACTCCATGAACCACTTTGAGAACACAACAATGAACGCTCAGAATTATTCATCTGACAGATGATGTTTGCTCTCTATGAACATTACTAAAAAGGAGTAGCCATGTGCCCATGTAAGTATGTTCAGGCTGTAATTAAAAAACAGCTTGAATCATGCAAATCACGAAACACAAGCAGTCTGACTAGGTACATACAGGGTTTACAAACCATGTGATTATTACGATTATCATGTGTGGTAACATTTTTAGTTTTTATAACCACGATATATTTCGTGGTAATCGTGATAATCTCACCTCCAAACGGTTTGGTAAATGCTGGTTAAGTACACGGGCAAATGGCAATTTGGAGTACGCTTGAATACCTGCACATGCATTCACTTAATCTTGCTTATGGACTGGAGTTCAGAAGCTAAGGTGCAATGACACACATTATCTAAGAATATACTATATCACTAAGAATAAACCGGTCATTTGTTACAGTATTCAATAACTGGACCTTGCTGTTGAATTCATTCAAGAAAACACTAGCTTTGCCTCTTTGTGTTGTGATGATTTTCCTTGCCAATCCGTGTCCTCCACCTGTGCAGAAGAACAAGAGAAAAGAACATAGATAGTTCTTTGTATAAAAATATGAAATGAGATGCTTTTCGGGGAACTGCGAATGCCACTTTGAAGTTTCTCTAAATTTGGTTGGAATTTGTTTGAAAATTCGTATTTGCTTTTCAAATTCGGTGTACAATTATAATAATTTACTCCATAGGTGTTGGTGACTGAGATAATTCAGCCCTCTTAATTTTTCTATTACCGCAATTTTTCGCTGTGTGGATTTTGATTTTGGCGAGCACACAAGCTTATCATTTGTTAAAATTTCTACTTTTGTCATCGAAGATGAAAGTGAAAACTAGAAGACATGGGATGACGCAAAACTTAGAAATATGGAGAGTAGTGGGTAAATTTTAGTGACATACAAGGAGCTTTCTTTGTCAAACCACGGACTCGACCTCACAATTCATAATTTTTTTAAAAAAAAAATTGAACTTTTAAATTTCGATTTTAAAAATAAACTCTTTCAAAACTTATTTCTAATATATGAATCTTTTCGCCACGCCAACCAAATTGATGTAGCAAAATAACACTGCCACGCTGATACCAGTCTAACTGGTGTTACAATGTTATTTGGTGATGCCAGTCTGACTAGTGTGATGGTATTATTTGACTGTGCCATCCTAACTAGCATGGTAAGATAAAACTATCACACCCGCTATGTGGCGTGTCAGTGTTGTTTTGCCACGCCAGCCAAAAGGTTTATATTCTATGAATAAGTTTTGGAAGAGTTTATTTTTAAAATCAATAATAAAATAAGTTCAAGAAATTAAAAAAAATCACAATTCACACATGTACGGTCGGTAAAGCAATTCACTTGTTAAAAGAGGTGAGATGTTCTGATGATACGCCACAGTATGATTCAAGTCCAAGAAACATGGCAGAATAATCAACACTGCAATTTGCCTCCACTTTATTTCAGATCGTAGTACAGAATACAGACCACATCTGTAGTAGTTCATGCAAAGTTACCGCTAGAGTACTAGCTATGACAAGCAAGTTCATGTGTATGGAGCTCTGTTGTTTTACAGGTTGCTTGAATCAAAAGTAACAAATCCTTTCTCTTTCAAGCTCTCGATGGTCTCCTTGATGCTCGTGTGCAGGGGAGTCAGTTCCAGGCCCAAGCTTTTTATCTTTTCCTTTGATACCTGGTAGATTGGCACTGATGGCTTGTCATCTGCACACCTGTAGAAAAACGATTATCACTCACTGGTCACTGCGATGAGCAGGTTAAGCACTAGTAGTAGTAGTTTATTCATAAACTGGCTGACAAGATGGACAATGAGCGCTTAACGAAGAGGAAGCTAAGCAATGAAGGGTATCTAACGTTAAATAGTCTTTTGATTTGGTAAAATATCATGGCACATGCATTAAGCATTACTTGATAGAATGAACACTTGCAACGCGCAGTGACTTACTTGTCTGGCAGAGGAATATTGGGATACATCTCACGAATGATTTGGACGAGCTCTGAGTAGTGCGCAACTCTTTCAACCATGCAATATCTTCCATTTGCTGAAGGAACTTCATATGCAAGGATATGTGCCAGGGCAACATCCTTAACGTTTATCCAGCCAAAGCTGAAATTAGGATATGTCGAGGATGATCCTGCATGGACATGATAAGAGCCCGGATCTTCAATTCTAATATTCTATTTCTTGTTAAGGGTCCAAACATGCAAACATAAAAACTATATTGTTACAGTGCACAGTCTGCTCTAGTAACCAAATCTCTGTAATTTGGACATTTGTTGTCTAATTGCAAAGCATTTTTGGGTTCATATTTTATCATAAATCACCCCAATAACCTTTCTCCAGAGGCATATTTGTTTCTACAATTTTTCCATGTTCAGGATCTTTTTTAAAAAACAAAACCTTGTTCAGGATCTTGCGCTTAAAAATCCTAACCCCACCATCCATCCAGTTCTAGTTATGAGTATCAGGAACCACATGGGTGGCAGGATTTGGAGCCTTAACCATTGATTGTCCCAATTATGTGGCAAAACACTAGTGAAAATGACTTAACACAGCCAAAATATTCGTATTATTTAGAGAACTTCCATATGTAGCTTGTGGCTTCAGGATTCATAAGTCAATTAGTTAGATGAGCAATTGACAGGAGAATTCCTTTTCAATATGAAATATATCACAGTGCTTGTGTGAGTTGCCAAACAATAAGAGTAGCTTGAAATACCATGAGCATGTCTATCTTCTATCCGAGTCCTAGATAATTGTCCTAATATGTGTTTCTCCTAAAGGGCAAATGCAAAATTGTTGTAGGCATCACAAGAAAAATCTACTGTAGATGAAGGCACGTACGCTGTAGCTCAATTCAAGGAAATGTGTTAGTTAAGGTGTTGACCCCATACCATTGATTAGCTTCAGAATTGCTTCAGCACTAGTATTCAGTGAAGGCTGCAGCAGGGGACCAATGACCATTGCTGGGTTCACCGTAACTATTTCAAATCCATTATCTTTTGAAAACTTCCAAGCAGCCTCCTCTGCTAGGGTCTTGGACAGAACATACCATTGCTGAAGCAGAATGAGCATTCAAATAAAAATATTTTAGAATACCTTAACAGAAACTTTGTATGGTGAAAGTACAGAAATTCAAAAAGGATATTTAAAAGGAACTGCTGTGAAACAACAAACAAATCCTCTCATTTTACTTAAGAGTCAGATCAATAAATGGAATTCTTTTGGAAGGTAGCAACTGTAACTAAGCTTAATATTCCCATCAAACTAATAATGGACAAGTGCAGGAGTTAACTATATTGCTTCAATATTCACCAGAAACTATGCTGTATTCATATTAACAAGGCAATGGGCTGTATTGCTATTGTGTAGCAAAAGACAATGAATGGCCATTGCAAAATGGCCTAACAGTAAACTATGTTGTATTCATATTAACTAGGCAATGGACTGTATTGCTATTTTGTAGCAAAAGACAATGAATGGCCATTGCAGAATGGCGTAACTGTAGATTTTTATAGAGCATGTAAATACACAGCGTGCAAGAGTAAATGACAGTGAGTTTGCTATACTAAGGGTGTGTTTGAGGAGAAGGGGATTGAGGAGATTGGGAAGATACGCAAAACGAGGTGAGCCATTAGCTCATGATTAATTAAGTATTAACTATTTTAAATTTCAAAAATGGATTAATATGATTTTTTAAAGCAACTTTCCTATAGAAATTTTTTGCAAAAAACGCACCGTTTAGTAGTTTGAAAAGCGTGCGCGCGGAAAACGAGATCACCCTAGAACGAACAGAGCCAAATTTCTAAATATGGAGGCATCTACCAACAATCTGGGCTGGAACTATGGGAAACAACCAAAGCATCTTCCAAACCCACAAACAGGTGCATGACAAAATAGAGCGGATCAGCAAGCGAATAGACAAAAGCAAGGGCATTTGGACACAGGTAAGGTCCTAGACACAAAGAGCAGCCAGAGTGTCTGGCATTTATTCACGTCATTAGTAACTCCACCATGTATACCATACATCCAACATACAACTGGCACAATAAAGGCATATTACCTGATGCTTTTCACAAATCTCTGGAACTGAAAACCATGTCTCATCAACAACTACATCAGGAGTTCTTGGTTTCCCATTGTAGGCAACAGCAGCCATGGATGATGTCACGATAACTCTTCTAATGGAAGCTTTCTTGCAGGAGCCTAGAACATTAAGGGTTCCTTTGACTGCAGGGTCAAGTAACTCAGCCTGTTTTTTTTAAAAAACAAGGAGTAAATCAGCGTGAAAAATGTAAATATATAGAAGAAAACAAGATAATACTGTTTACTTATGAAACTTCAGTCAACATGTGAGATCACTTGTTAAAAAAATAGTTAGCCAAATGAATGTAAATCATGTTCTAACATTCAAATATTCAATGTTGTTAAAACTAGGGAATATCTGGATTATATTTTTCATAAATTAAAGGAATTAGATACAGGGTGAAAGATTATAAAATGGAACATAAGTGATATATGCATGAGTCCTACACAAATACTCCCAAGAGAAACCTTGGAATTAAAAAAAGGCAATCCAAATGCACGATCAATAAAGGATACCAACAACAGTGCACAGTACAGTACAGTACAGTACAGTACAGTACTGCACCAAATGCATAATTAATAAAAGGATACCAAGGGCAATGCACAGTGAAGTATATTACTGCACCTATAACAACGGATAGTTGTTGCCTATTAACACTGCATATATTTAAGCTCAGTATACATGAATAATCATTATCCTGAGAACTCCTTTAGAAAATTGCCTATAAGCACTAAAATTCTGCATAAAGCTGCTTCCATACTGCAATACATCTTGAAGGAAAAAAATAAGTGACATCAGGATCGTTTTTATATGTCCAGATCAATCTATTACAGTAACATACAGCAATTATGATTTTGCATCAAACAGCTATAGTGCTCACCTTAGGATCTTTAACATTGTGGTAAAAGGGAGAAGCCGTATGGAAAACACAATCACAACCATTGACCGCAGCATCGAAAGAGCCCTCTTCCAGCAGATTTGCTTCGAACAAATGGAGTCTTTCGTTGGCTCCATCCAGGGCACGCAGGTGTAGTGTTTTCTTTGGGTCAGCTGAAATAAAACAGTACATAAGCATCGCATATTTTATCAACCGGGAACCACAAGTTAAGTTCAAACAAATCTCTCTATTTCTGTAAAGAACAAATTAAATACCCTCTTGGTTTCAGACTAACAGGGGCAAAACCCCAACAACTCCCAAAATCTCAATCGATCATGTTCAACAATAGAAAATTCAAAATAGATTAGTGTACCTAACAGATGCACAGAATTGGTTGCGATGTACCAACGCTAAAAACCAAACTGATTTAACTCAACCAAACAAAAAGATCATCACGACGATAGTTACGGGGAAGGGGATGGGAACAATCCATCCATCCAGTCCAAGAAACGGCGAGAGAGGGGGGAGGGACGAGATGGACGGGAAGAGGTGGGGGGGTGGCTCACAGGTGTCCCGGATGGTGGCGCGGACCGTGTAGCCGCGGGCGAGGAGCAGCCTGACGAGCCACGACGCGATGTACCCCGACGCGCCGGTGACGCACACCAGCTTCCCGGTCCCGGGCGCCGCCTCAGACTCGGAGCTCATCTTCCTCCCTTCCTTTTCGTGTGAAGCGAAGGACGGGGGTGGGGTGCCGGACTCGACGATCTCGTCTCGCACCGCCGCCGCCGCCGCCGCCGCCGCCTCCTCGCCTTGGCTCCGGAGAGAGCGCGAGAGAGATGGCGTGGAGTGGGTGAAGAGGAGTAGTAATAATGGTGTGTGGTGGTGGGAGCGTTTATGTAGTGGTGATAATAACTACAGAAAAACGCGTCAGAGCAAACGTCACCAGGAGGCGGATGCGCTCATCCGCGGCGTGAGCCACCTGACGGGCCTGTTTGGTTATCTGCTGATGAGGAAATATAGAGTAATGATAAAACTTACTTCATAGCTCTGGGCTAATTCACGAGACGAATCTATTGAGCCTAATTGATTCATGATTAGTCTATGTGATGCTACAGTAAACATGTGCTAAATATGGATTAATTAGGCTTAAAAAATTTATCTCGTGAATTAGCTCTCATTTATGTAATTGGTTTTGTAAGTAGTCTATGTTTAATTCTCCAAATTAGTGTCCAAACATCCGATATAACAGGGACTAAAGTTTAGCCCGTGAATCCAAACACCACCTTAATGGTTGCGTCATCGCCGGCTACCGCTGCCTACTGTCACATCTCACACGGAAGAAATGTGTTCAATTAATAACTCGTGAAACTGATGACTACCAGGGGCTGTTCAGATTATCCAAAATAAACCTTATCAAATTTTGACAATATCAAAATTTTAGCAAGTTGTCAATATTACCAAAATTTGAATAGGATTTCCTATGTATTTACCAAAGTTTGGCAACAAACTAAATGCGGTCACTTTTTGCAACATTGTAAAAAAAATAATATGGTTGAAAATAACATCAATTTGAATAGTCCCCTAATAATTTCAGCATTCCAAATATTTTAGATTCTATATTTTTAAAAATCAGTAATTATATAATCTGGAGTAGGAAAAAAAAGGATTTGCTATTCGTTTGTTGCTGTTTTATTTGGGTTTATCAGCCGAATTTGTGTCCATTGGATTTTTATCAACATGCGTGCGCCACCGCGCCTGCTGGGGAGACAACGGTGGCCTTTATCGATTCGCGCGCCCTAAAGCCCGGCCCAGATTAAACGAGAGAGGCATCAATTTTTTTAAGCCATTTGTCCTATAGACAGTAAAAAAAAATAGAGCCATTGTAATCCTGAAGGGGCATATAAACTACGCAGTGCAAATTGCGTGAAACTTACATTATCGTTTTGTTTCTTTTCAAACCATTATTCATGATCACCGTGAAACTTATTCCAACACAAGTGGCAAGTGGTTTAATAACCTGTCTTCCAAAATTATGCTTCTTTTCTAGGGCTGAAGCAGGTGATTCATGGATATAGTCCACAAGGCATACGACTACCGGAGCCTTAGGCCGAGTCTGAGAAGAAGGGGACAGAGAACATAAAACGAGGTGAGTTATTAGTGCATGATTAATTAAGTATTAATTGTTTTAAATTTTAAAAGTGGATTAATATGATTTTTTAAAGCAACTTTTCTATAGAAAATTTTTTGCAAAAAAAACACATCGTTTAGTAATTCGGGAAGCATGTGTGTAAAACGAAACAAACTTTCTCCTTAATGTGCTGCTGCCGAACGCAGCCTTAAGAGCAAGTACAATAATAGGGTGTCGCATAGGGTGTTTGGACACTAATAAAAAAACTAATTACAGAATCCGTCGGTAAACCATGAGACGAATTTATTAAGCCTAATTAATCCATCATTAGCAAATGTTTACTGTAGCACCACATTGTCAAATCATGTAGCAATTAGGTTTAAAAGATTCGTCTCGCAAATTAATCACAATCTGTGCAATTAGTTATTTTTTAAGTCTATATTTAATACTTCATGCAAGTGTTGAAACGTTCGATGTGACATGATGTAAAATTTTGGGATGGAATCTAAACACCTTCTAAGTCAACTACAAGCTTATGTGGAGAAGATAAAAGAGGAGAGATAAGAGAAGCGGGCTACATATTCAGCTACAGCACGGACTCCAAAACGCTATGTATATATGACATGTAGTATATATTTATAGTTAATTATTATATGAATTGACTATTAGATTGATTATGGATGATTTAGAGCTAGTAGTAATTGGTTCTACTGTTAAACTTGCTCTAATGATGTTCTGGTGTCTTTGTAATTCCATAACTACTATGCATTACCCACCATTCTATTTATGTGCCCTGGCTTGCATGGGATGATTTTCATAACATCTTTTTCCTTCATCTTGAACGTTATGCCGTGAAATCCATTGCAAATATTTGAATGTGGATACTGAAACAGTGAGTAATTCGTGAGAGAAATTCATGCTGGTTTCTCAATTTCTGATGAATTACTGCTGTAGTTTTTTCTGTTGAGGCTAAGCACAAAACTTCCTCTACTGGGAAACATGATTGTACAGAGATTGTGGTAGGGGTGATTTGATATTTCCCTCTAGCTACCGCCCAACACCATATATATCGTTCGCGTTACTAAATCCGTCACAAATGGACCAAAAACAAAAGAGGATAAGCTTTGAAGCAACAAGTACTTCCTCCGTTTCACAGTGTATATCATTTTAGCATTTTTCACATTCATATAGATGTTAATGAATCTAGATGAATATATATGTCTAGATTCATTAACATCAATATGAATGTGAGAAATACTAGAATGACTTACATTGTGAAACGGAGGGAGTACAAATATTAGGGGCTGATTTGGTTTGAAGCCAAAACCTGCCATACCAAAATATTGACATTTTAAACAGTAATTTTAGCGATGTTTGGTTTGCTAAAAAAAAAAAAAACAGTTCATGTTGCATGATCAAGCTGGGTATTTTCTCTTGTGAATCCCCTCGTCGACCATTGTGATGACTAATGAGATCGTTGTTGAGGAGAGTTGTCCGGTCCAGTACTGTTGGCGGCGGTGTCCAGCAATGGCTGCATCTTGGCGCGCAGGACGCAGCGGAGGCCACGCAGCTGCGCGCGCTCCGCCATGGTCAGGTGGTCCCCGTCGCGCAGCGCCGCGGCGAGCCCGGCGTCCACCTCCCTCCACGCGGCGGCCAGGACGCGGCCGCGGTGCGGGTCGCGGGCCGTCCGGTCGCCGCCGAGGCCGAGCGCGGCGGCGACCACCTGCTCGTCGAGGAGAGCCTGCAGCTGCAGGCCACCGCCACGTCCCGCCGTCGCGCCGCGGCCGCGGTCGCAGTGCCTCTCCTCGCCGCGCAGCCACGCGTCCCGCTCCTCCGCGGCGTGGCCGGCGATGGAGCAGAGCGCGGCGGCGAGCTCGTACGCCCGGCGGTCCGACGGGTCTCTCGCCACGGCCGCCCTGTACCGCTGCATGGCCTCGTCGAAGCGCCCGTCTCGGATCGCGAGGAACGCCAGGAGGAGGTTGACGTCGACCACCGCCGCGGAGGCGTCGGCCTCCGCCTCGGCGTCCGCGACGGCGCGCACCTCGCGGAGGCGCTCGCCGCAGAGTGGCCGCGCTCCGAGCACCGGCGCTAGCATCGCCTGGGAGCACAGCACGAGCGCCTTGTTCAGCTGGGACTCGGTGGCGTTGATGGGGGGAGGCGGTGGCCGTGTCCACGTCCAGGATTTGAACTCCGGGTAGGCGGCGGCGGCGAAGCGCTTGGACACGAAGCGGCGGAGCAATCTTCCGAGCACCGCGAGCTCGAGCCTCTCCAGCGTGGACCACTCGCCTTCCTCCAGCTTCATGGAGAGCGTGTCCTCGGCGATCGCGGCCGCGACGTCCACGACCATCCCGTCGACGCCCTCTTCGACGCGCTGCGGCGAGGATCCGGGCATGGCGTACACGACGATGGTCACGAACCGATCACTGGTTTTGAAGCGGCGGGCGCTCTCCGGGACGCTCTTGAGCCACTCGAACGCGGTCCCGGACCGGCCGTGGAGGCAGCACAGCGCGGCGGCGGCGAGCCGCGGGCGGATGTCGCCGGGATTGTCCCTGGCCAGCTGGACGGCGGCCGCGAGCGCCTCGTCGAGACGGCCTTCCCGAGCGTGCAGGGTGGCCAGCTCGAGCCTGAGATGGACGGCGGCTTTCGAGTCGCCCTTGGACTCCGCGGCCGCGAGCTTCTTGGGGATCCTGTCGGAGACCATCAAGCGGATCGCCCCGCCGGTGATGGTCGGCACGCGGAGCGCGCTGGCGGCGAGCGCGTGCGCCGCGTCGAGGAAGAAGGAGGCGTCCGCGCTGCCGCCGCTGGTGGTGGTGGTGGTGAGGGCCGCGTTGAGATCCCGCAGTCCGGGGTGCGCGCGGACTAACCCCAGGTGGCCGCAGCGGGTGGCGTCGTCGGCGCCGCGGTGGGGCGACGGACGGGAGAGGCGGACGGAAACCCCGCACTGCTCCGCCTTGGAGAGAGCCAAGGTCGCGGCGGCCCCAGCCATGGCGGTGGTCAGCGCGGCGCGGCGGAGGAATCTGGAGACGGACATTGCATTTGTGCTTCGCGTACTCGTCTCCTCTCTCCGATGGGGGCGGCGGCGGAAGAGGAGGACGAGGAGGGGAAGATACGGTGCCGGGCTCGTTTGTTGCTTGGAGATGCGTGCAATCCGATTGTGATTTGGGAGAATTCGTCTGTTGGGCAGCACAAAATATCGTAGCCGTTCACAGGTGGAACAAGTTCATCTGAGGTACGTTAATTTTACACCAAATCCGATTTATATCCTTAAACCCAAAAACTAGATACAACCAGTCCCTAAATTATTAAAACCGATGCAAACGATGCGGTTTGACTGATGTGGCGTCTACGTGGTTGGTTTGACTAAATCTTAATCACACATGTGACGTTTACGTGGCAATTCGATCCCAGAAAAAAATAAAAACTACAGGTCTACATGTCCGCTATACACACAACATAATTAAAAATAGTGGAGCTCATATATACCCCACGTGTCATCCTCACTCTTCCTTTCTTCCCTCTCCCCTCTCTCTTTTCTTCTTCATCCTCACTCCTCCTTTCTTCCCTCTCCCATTTCTTCATCGTCTTTTCCCAGGTAGCGGACAGGTAGGTGGTCACGAGGAGAACGGTGGAGCAAGCGGAGCGAACCGACGGCGGGCAGTGACCTTGGCGACGTGGCGCCCTCCCTCTCCGACGGGTCGTCATTGTCCGCGACCTCCATGGTGGTGACCGTGGCTGCTCATGCGCCTGGCCCAGAAGCCACAGGAGGAGTCGGAGCGCCCGGCCGAGGGCTCCGATGACGAGGAAGACGACTCTGGCGCCATCGCCACCGTGCTCGAGACGGAGATGGAGTTCGACGGAGGAGGTAGCGGTATTGAGGGTGGTGATGCGTCCGCCGCAGCATGACCGCCTCTTGCGCTTCCCGTTGTCGGCTAGCAGGGGCCACACTGACCCGAGCATGAAATGTGGCGGCGCCACCGCCGCGAGCTCGATGGGCTCCTCCTTCGCTGCCGCCATCGGTGACAGTGGCGGAAACGGCTTCTTCTTTGGAGGCAACAGCGGTGGCGGGACCGCGTGAGCGGGGGTGTTCTCCTTCAGCAGTGGCGGCGGTGGTAGCGGCTTCTTCTTCAGCAGCAGGCAACGGCGGCGGAAACAGCATCGCCTTCTTCCTGGAGGCAGCGGGGCTGGAACAGTAGCGGCTTCTCCTCAGTCGATGGCGGTGGAGGCAGGACAGGAGCGACGTAGCGGTGGGAGGGGAGATTGAGGGTGGCACCGGGGCCGTGGAGGCGAACGCAGGCGTCATTATATTAGAGGCGGCGGCGGTGGCCTCGGCCCACGGCGGTGTCGAGCCATGCGCGTCACTCGTTCTCCTTGGGGTCGCGGACTCCGCCGCCCACCTCCCCCACGGCCGTTGCCGCACACCGGTGAACCGCCTCGCCACCTCTTGGAACCGTAGTTGCGTCCGCTTCACCAACACCCGCCTCGCCGCCGCCACCTCCCCCTTCCTCCTCATTGATAGCCACACCACCGCCATGCGCACCATCCGCCTCGCCGTCCATCCGAGCAATCCAACCTCGGTAGCTCAAGTAGTCAGAGGGGGTGGATAAGGTGGCGTGGGCGTCGCCGATGGTGGTTCCGGCTCAGGCGGAGGTCCGGCCTCAGCCCCTCTATGTCGCCCGTCGCCACTCTGCCCTTTTCCTTACAGTGCAGGGGAGAGAGAGAGAGAGGAGAGAGGGAAGGAGGGAGGAGTGAGGATGACATGCGGGGCCCATGTGGGCCCACCATTTTTAAAATTGTTTTGTGTGTAGCTAACATGTGAGCCCAGAGTTTATCAGGATTATGGATACCACATACCTAATAGTAGTTAAGTAAACTCGGCAGGGCCCACCACATACCATGTCTTATATGAAAACAAACCTCGTATATAGAAGGAGTTCCGAATAAAGAAGGACAAATAGAGTTCTATATGGAAACGACAAGGACTATTTAGATTGTATCCATATTTATCTCCCTAGTCTTACTTAGACAAGGGGGCACCTATGGGTATAAATACAAGCCCCCTAGGAGGAGAGGGGACACGCCACAAATACACAAGCCAACACACGCCATAAGATCTCGACACCAGAGATTAGCCTAGCCATACCCCCATCCGGTGCCTACGGAAAGCCGGCAAGAGGGATCTAGCGCAATGAGTTCATGCTCGAGGAGGAAGACTACCATGTTGTCGACTACGAGTTGGTTATCTAGCCGCTAAGTCGACGACAGTTAGATAGGTTATCCCAAATATTGTATTTGTGTGATTCAGATGAATAAAGGAGCAACACCGGCTTCAGCCAATAGGATGTAGGGCTATTACCTGTCAGTTAAGGGGCTCGAACCTGTATAAAAATCCCTGTCTCCATCTCTTTTACCTCAATCTCGCATATACCCTGGTACCAACGATCCCCATAACATCCAAGTACCGTAGTCACGATCTCAAACGTCGACACAGTTATTATTATTTTTTCCGAGATCGAATTGCTACGTAAGCACCACGTCAATGCCACGTGGAATGAAGACCTAGTCAAACCAACCACGTAGGCACCCCCGTCAGCCAAAACCGCCTTCCAAACCGCCGAGGGATCTCGTTTGCATCTGTTTTGATAGTTCAGGGACCGGTTGTAGGCTTTTGCGTTCAAGGATGAAAATCGGATCCGATATAAAGTTAAGGGGTCTCAAATGAACTTGTTCCTTCACAGGTCACAGCCCAATAGCCCATCGATCTGCTACCTGGAAACAAAGGACCAGCCCCAATTTAGTACTATCCACCATTCTATGTGTCCTGGCTTGATTGGATGATTTTTCATCTTGTTCTTTTTACCTTTTCTTTTTCTCTTCCATGTTACCCATGTCTAGTGGACATCCAATGCAACTTCTGGTACATCATTATAACCGATACATAAGAATATTTGATTGTTTGTTTATCTCTATCTCTACTATTATAAAAATTTAAGATGTTTTTGCTAGGATTTCTTACGTCGTCCCCGTATTGCATGAGTTTGTCTGTTCGATTCCCTCCCATATCGTGTCTTTGGTACGCATTTCTCCCTCATGCTCCGAAACAATTTTTCATCCGTCCGTTGTTGGTCACGTTCAGGCACGATGTGGGGATTGTCATAAGTTTTTGAAACCCCGGGATTGTCATAAGTCAGGACTTCTATCTCCGATTGGGTCTTATAGAAGCGTATAAATCAAATTAAACAAAATTCTTTCTACGTATTTTCTTCCGTTCAATAGCATTCGATCCTCATCGTCTAGATAGGGGAAAAATGGAAAAGAAAACAAAAAGAAGAGAAAACGGGATGGAATGAAAAGCTCAAACAGAGCAAGGCATGGAAGGATGCGTCGAGCGGCGTCCTCGGTGAGCACTAGATCCTTACAACTACAAAAATCCTCCTCTCCTCCTATGGCTCGCCCATGCGTGCCTGCCTCCGAGGGAATCTCCGAGCATGCTCACAGCATCAGCTAGCCACGTGTGGAAGCTTCAGTGTTGTCTATTCGCCGAACCGTTGTCACTGCTCTCGCTTAGGCTGTGTTTAATTCCACACCAAAATTAGAAGTTTGAAGAAATTGAAACGATGTGACGGAAAAGTTGAAAGTTTAAGTAGGTAGGAAAGTTCGATGTGACGGAAAAATTGAAAGTTTGAAGAAAAAAAAATTAAAATCTAAACAGGACCTTAGGCCGGAGAAGTAGGGTTAAGAATTCCGGATCGAATTTCTGACATTTCGGGTTTTCTCAAAATTGGTCAAAACAGTAAAAAATCCCCAAATGGCAATTCCCAATCCCCTTTTCCTCTCCACTTCTCTCTCAAATCTCAATCCCTCCCTCACTCAATTTAGCCATACCTCAAGAATATGATGTCGTAGGGGAAGATGATGCTCCGACGACGTCCACTGCAGGCTCTCCAGGAACCTGAACGGCAGATCAACAACGATTGTTGCCTCTGCGACTCGAGCAAACTGTTGTTGCGCCCTCGATCGTATGGCTCATTGCTCGCGTGAAGGCCGCGACGGCGCTACGAGCCTGCAGCTCGTTCCATGACCGCCAACGGCACTCCATGCTCTACGGTGGTGGCTCATTTGGCTTGGCTCGACAACGGCGCGACGTATACCAATTGAACAACAGCTCTGCATTGAATACGGCGACTTCACTTAGCAACAAAAAGGAGTGTAAAATCGAGTAGAGATTGCAAAGTTGATGGGCTGTGGGACTCATCGTTGGAATGAGTAAATGATGGCTCGAGCTCCTGGGAAATGAGATTAAATTCATTCAGCCTGCTGTTTAAATTCAAATTTTGTTTGAATATTTTGTTCAAAATTGTTAAAATAATTCCGGAATTTGTGAAATATTTCCGTACCCCTTGAAAATTTCCCCTTTTTAAATACTAAACCATGCTAGAAGAAAAGGGGAAGGAATTTAGAGGAGAGATTTTGTTTTGTCCGTGTCATCAGATATCCTGACTCCAAGAGACTTGGCCCGTCACGGATTGAGATCCTCTAACTTGTGTCACTGATATGTGGGCCCTCTATCCAGTGAGCCCACATGTCAGTGAGTCAAAGTCAGAAAGAAATAAGTCAGAGGATCCTTTTCCTAACCCACCATATGGGGCTTTCATGCGTGAGAAATATAACTGCACGTGCACCCGCCGGCTCACATATACCAAAAAATTTTCAATTACGGGTCTATAAATGTTTTATGTAGTCGATTAAATTGTTTTTCATTTGTAGAATTAGTTTTAGCTCCATGGCTGAGTCCGGCACTTCATGTTACCAACTCACTTCTTTCGTTTTTCGCGCGCACGCTTTTCAAACTGTGTTGCAAACCTTTTCTATATGAAAGTTGCTTTGAAAAAATCATATTGATCCAATTTTTTTAAAAAGCTAATACTTAATTAATCACGTGCTTTTTTTTTACTGTTGATATCAGCTTTTTTTTTCATAGCTGGAAGAAAGATGTAAAGAGAGAGAGAGAGAGAGACAGAAGCGGTCTAATTAGTCGATGGCTCCACACGGGCGCCTTGGCAGCACGACGCGTGTGCGAGAGATGCACATGATTGGTGAAAGGATTAGGTGAGAGAAAATTAAAGCTGGCCCACTCGAAAAGAGCTTCTGCGATTTGTTAAAAATTAGGAGAGATAACGGAGATTTGGCCCACATAAAAATAAAAAATAATGACTCACTTAATTTTTATATAATTTTAATGACATACATCACCATCAATTAGGGCATCACCAATGTTTACTACCTACTTTGAGAATAAGGGTGGGCCCTGCGTCAGTGGGTATTAGTTGTTGTTGTAGCCACAATGGTGAAATAACAAAAGTGGGTAGTAAGCTGGGCCCCACAACCATTAGCTATGAGAGAGGAATGAGAGAAATCATTTGTTTATTGCTTATGGCTAAGTAGTAAGCATATTACCTAGTATTTGGTACTTACTACTTCCACAATGTATACAACCTGATAGTAGTAGTATTTTATTCCTTACTACCCACTTTATATGCACATTGTGGATGCCCTTAGATGGCTGCTTACTGTTCTATTAGACTTGCCCTAATAGACCGTTCTGTTTTGCGTGTAGAAGAGATTAATTCCCATCCTGTACCTGTACCGCTGAACGCAGCCACATCTAAGCTTTCTAAAAATTGCTAAAAAATTGAGAAAAAACTTTTCCTTCTTCATATTAAATTATTTTTAGTTAATGGAATCAATGAAAAGTTTAATCATATATTTTTAGCTTTTTGACCAAAGGTGATTGTAATTTCATTTCATCATCATCATCATCATCATCATCATCATCATCATCATCATCATCATCATCATTATTATTATTATTATTATTCATCTTTGCCAAACAGTATCCCATCTAATGCTCATGAAACTCATCAAGTGTCTTTGGGTTTACTCTTTGTTTAAAGAAATGCCAAAGACGGCAGAGGAAAAGACGGCCCTTGCCGGTGGAGAGAAGCGAGAGTGCCAGTGGAGAGAGAAGACGGTGGTAGAGAGGGTGAGGTTGAGGAAGTGGGACCCACTGACGTATGGGTTACACTATTTTTTTATCTTCTTATTTGACTGACATATGGGATCCACATATTTTGTTTTAATTTTTTACTTTTCAATTTTGCTTTTTTTTATCAAACTGCCACGTAAGCACCACGTCAATATCACGTGGGATGAAAACCTAGTCAAAGGAGCTACGTAGGCATCACGTCAGTCAAAACTGAATACAATACTATCGAGGGACCTTATTTATACTGGTTTTATAAGTTGGAGAACCTATTGTATCTGGTTTTTAGGTTAAAAAAAATGAAAATCGGATTCGATGTCCAAGTTAAAGATCTCAAATGAACTTAAGAACTGCATACTTTAGGGGAGGCTTCATGGCTTTGTATTTAACAAGGGGATTACAAGCAGAGTTTTCCCCATATTGTAATGCACAAATCAATTACTGATTCTGAAATATATTTTCGTTTATAAATACACAAGTGTGGCAGTGTCGTGGGGCGATGGAGGGGAGAGGCGTTCGGAAATCCCCCATCACCTGAGGTCCCGTTCTTTTCTCCAACAAGAATTAGATTAAGATTAAGATTTTCGTGTCACACTTTTCAAACTGCTAAACAGTGTGTTTCGTGTGAAAATTTTCTATGAAAGTTGCTCTAAAATATCATATTAATATATTTTTCAAGTTTGTAATAATTAAAAACTCAATCAATTATACGTTAATACTACCTCGTTTTGTGTAAAAGAAATTTAATCTTTATCTTTAGGAGAAAAGAACACCACCTCATCAGTCACAGCCGCAGTCTTGACCATAGTTGTGGCGTGGCGGTATGGTGGAGGAACCGACATGGCGGATGAAATAACACGTGTAATGCAGATGGTGTGTAATTCTTGCATTTATTTGGTCTGCGGTAGGAAATAAAATGTCACAAAATACGATGTCCTTATAGCTATCTTATTAAAGAACACTTTAAGATGTCATGCAAATCTAATAAGTACTCCCTCCGTCCTAAAAAAAACTCAATCTAGAAGGGGATGTAACCTCTCCTAGAACAACGAATCTGGATCTAGGAGGGGTCACACTCATATCCCCTCCTAGGTTGAGATTTTTTTGGGACGGAGGGAGTAGACGATTAGCCAGCAGATGTTGTCTTGATCTGACGTGGAAGAGAAAAAGTAGATGTGAGAGGAGGAAGCCAGTGCTTCTGCAGCCGCCCGCTCGGCACGAACGGCTAGACGTGATGACAGCTTAGACCCATATCAAGAGAAAGGAGGTATAGTACATGTCGGTCCTACCAAAAATATAAAAATACTATTATATGCACTGGCTATAGCATCTTGCTTAGAGCCCATAGCAGGCTCCTCTATTATCCTTGGTCTAATCCGGTCTAATCCTACTGCGGCTGCCAGAAAGACCGCATGTACTCCCATTGCATAAAAGTTCACCCAAATGGTTATTTTCTGTGAGGAAAAGATATGACATGAAATGTGCAACACGATGGTATCTACGACTACAATCATGTAAAATTTCGTCTCTAGATATATACCATTCCTTGATTATATAAGACCAAAAAGAAGAAATGACACAAGCATTCTCTATAGATAGAAAAAGACAAGAAAATTAAGATGTGGAAAACAAGATAGGAATTGTGTACAATGACATTGTACAATAATTTTGAAAAGGGATGTAGCGAAGCTTGGTAGCGTGTTTGTTTTGGGTACAAAATGTCACAGGTTCAAATCCTGTCATCCCTACCTATTACTTCTTTCTTCTTTATAGGCAGTAGTGAGGAGGTCGATTAAAGCGGGTATAACTTTAATTTGTGGATACTATACGTAAGTGAGACACATTAGGAGTAGAAAAGGATTTGATTTTTGAAAGCGCTCTTAGTTCAGTTCGGTAGAACACGGGTCTCCAAAACCCGATGTCGTAGGTTCAAATCCTACAGAGCGTGATTCCATCTATCTTATGTCGAAGCAAGGCAAAATAACTTAACAAAACAAATTGCAATTCCAATTTGACCTCCTCCAGACCAGAGAGGAGGGCAATCAAAAAAGAAATATTACTCAATCAAAGATCCAACTGATCCCCACGTCTGTATTGCAAATACGCTGTCACGAATAATCCCGCTAAAGTAATAGGAATTAGGCCTAAGACGATTCCAAATAGAAAAACTTCAATCATTTCGATTTGTTCGAGGGGATAAAAAAAAAGGTACGATCTATCCCTAAATAGTAGTCTAAATTATCCACGAATCTCAATGACCAAGAAAAAAAGAATTGGTAATTAGTGTGTAGAATACTAGGAATCCAAAAGAGAGATTTTTTTTTCTTTTCTGTCTTATTCATTCAATTCATTTCAAATAAAACGTATCTTGTTCAAGCCAATAAAAAGAGCTAGGGTTAGAGTTAAAGCAGCCAATAGAAAACCGAAATAGTTATAGTAAGCATGAAAGGGTTAAATTCCATTTTTTTACTACTTACTACATATGTTGGTAAAGCACTTACCTAAGTTATGGAAAATTCATAATTCATCGGTTATTTTAGATAGGCAAATTTTGCTACAGGACAATGCTTATGTGTGGTTTTAGCACTAGGACACTGCCCAAACTCACTTTTGGGGAAAAACACTCCATAAACGTGGTAATTTGCGAGTGGACACCGTGTCGATTAAAATAATACTTTCCGGTTGAAGAGGAGAGAGAAATCGTGTGAAATGTCAAAAATGCCCTTGTGCCCACATGTCAGCTCTATCTCGTATCTCTCTTCTCATCTCTCTCTATATTCTCTCTCGACGGCGGTTGCTGCCACGCCTGGGAGCGGCAACGAGATCTCCCACTCGAGAATGGAGTGTTCTTGCGGCGGCGGTGCAAGGCTCCGCCTCTCGTAGGAGGTGTACGACGCAGCGGTGGACGCTTCGTGCTCCGGCATGCCGCCGCCGCCGTACACTACCGCCGCGGCGTTGAACTCCTCCTTGGGCTTGACAATAAGCGACGGCGCATACTCCGCCGCAGCGGGGAGGACCGCCGCCACTGGAACAACCGGATGCGGGTGCGGCCATGGATCCTTGAGCTGCTGCTGCACCTGGAAGTGCTTGTGGTCGGAGAGCTTCCAAATGACGAGGATGACGAGGTGCACTGTGACGAACAGGTACGGCAGCACGAGCTACACCGCTCCACTCTGCCTGCCGCGCGCTCGCTCGCCGTCGTTGCCACTCCGCTCGGCCGACGCTGCCGCTCCGCCGGCTGTGCGCTCGTCCACCGCCGCCGCCGGCCTGCTACTCCGCCGGCCACCGCGCACTCGCCCGCCTGCTTCAGCTGCCAGCTCCGCTCCGCAGCAGCCGATGCCCTGCTCCACTCTGCCGGCCGCCGTCCTCACCATCTTCGCCGCGCCCGACGCCGCCCCGTGCACCGTCGAGAGAGAATACAGAGAGAGATAGGAGATAGAGCTGACATGTGGGCCCAAGGGCATTTTTGACATTTCACGTGATTTCTCTCTTCTTTTCAACCGGAAAGTATTATTTTAATCGGCATGGTGTCCACTGGCAAATTACCATGTTTATGGAGTGTTTTCCCCCAAAAGTGAGTTTTGACAGTGTCCTAGGGCTAAAACCACACATAAGCAGTGTCCTGTAGCAAAATTTGCCTTTTAGATAATACTAAAAACAAGATAGAGTGAGATACAAAAGTGTAAAAGAAAATGGATTCATCAGATGGGGCATGAGTCCCTAATTCCGAATCAAGAGGCGGCGCCGCCGTCGCTTTGAGAGAGGGGATCGGGGGCGTCGCTCGCCGGTCGTTGCTCCGCGCCGTCACAACCGCTCAGGGGTGGGGGGGTGCCGCCGCCGTCGTCGCTCGGGGGAGATTGGGGACGTGGGGGAGGGGGGAAATGAATCCTAGGGTTAGGGTTAGGGTTTGGGTATATTTATTTAGGTTAGGATTAATCTGGACCGTCCATTCGATCGGACGGCTCCAGATGCTCCCGTGTCGGGCCGCCGGCCTATTGGGCCACCAGATGGAGGATGCAAAATGGACTTCAACAGAGAAAGGAAACATGCCAGACACATAGAATAGACAAAGGGAGGGAATATAAACTTTTCTATATTCGGCCCAAACCTAGGAGGGAGGATTTTGATTCCTTTTTCCAATTAAATAATTGTTAAATGATGTTTGTATTATTAAAAATTAGCAATTAAGCTCGGATAATTTCAATAAAATTCTAAAGAGCGTAACTAATCATGGAGAAATTAATAAAATTAAATTTAACCATGTCATTTTATTTCTCACACTTGATTTACTTATAAATTGATTTAATTATACACCTACCTACTTAAAAATACTAAATATTTCAGAAAATTTGTATTTTAATTAATTACATAATATAAATTTTTCTTAACTTTTCCTCAATTTTCTGGTCCGTACACTTCCCGGTAGAACGCACAGGCACTGTTGAAGTACCGACCCATGTTATGATCTTTTCGTCATACAAAGAGTTTCAGATGCCTCTCTAGATTGAAGGCAACGCATCCCACGCATCCCAGTCATAGAGAGTTTCAGACGCCTCCGAAGACTGAAGTTGAAGGCACCGCATCGCAGCCATAGAAAGTTTGAGACGCCTCCGAAGACTGAAGGCACCGCATCCCAGCAAGAGAAACGGAGTGTCAGCACAAGTTTTAATTGACCACATATGCTCACTGCAGAAACTAAAAGCGATTCTCATTGTGGGTGGAATGCCTTCTGCACCATTGATCCTTTGGATCCAGGGTCCCAAAAAAATAGCTAATATCCTCGTCATCCCAGATGCAATTCTGATGTTGGCCTGCAGCTTTTCCCCGGCTCCTGCGACATCTAATAGCTTGTCATTTACAGATACGTGCATGTCATTAAAAACAGTCATGTTTGCCCTGCATATTTCAAGGGAACTCCTGTAAGCTGACAGGGCACCATATGCAGCTCTCTCATTAGAGACGGCTAAGAAGATAATAACCGCACTATGTACACAAGCCTTATTAGCAGAAACCTCGTCCACTTGTTTAGATTCAAGGCGATCTCTATTTGCAGCGTCGGTTGCGGCAGCAGCAACAGCAGCAAGCGATGCGACCTTGTCCACTTGTTTGGATTCAAGACGATGGAAGGTGCGTTCCATTAGAGAGAGCGATTGCCATGCAATGTCAAGGCTATTTTGTAGCTTGAGGAGATGGTTCCTGGTCCAGAATGATTTGGTAGGAGGGGCAGCACCCAATCTCTCCAGAGATTTTGAGACGCTGCGAAACACGAATGCCAAGCGCTGGACAAAGGGAATTTGCCCCTGGATAGCCATTGTAGTAGGTACTGTGCGTAATTTCCAAGATGTAATTGCAAAAGAAGAGGACGGGCAGAGCTGCCTGAAAACAACAACTCTATCTCTTATCTCTGCTGCAGATCGATTTGTTGCGACGAGCTGAGACGATTGACGGTTGGGACTTGGGAGTTATATGGAGGCAGGCAGCCGGCGGAAGTAGAATTGAATCCGACTACGAGTCCGAGTATGGTACGCTAATAGTGGAGTAAGCCGGAGTCGGCCTGGCCTCTTGCCGCTCTTCCCTCTCGCTGCACTTGCCCAACGAACTACTGTACTATATATTCAACCGGACTGTTTCTAAACCAAATTTGAAAAATCAAGTTTCCTTCTTATGTCTGGCTGGAACGTCAAACAACAGCAAATCATCAGTTATCCTAATTCATTCCTTTTTTCTAATGTACGTTTTTTTTTTGCGGGGATTTTTCTAATGTACGTTCATAGCACAAAATTTCATTTCTGGTAATGGAGATGGGATTGCTGGCTCTCCTCTCCTCCATGGCATATTGGTATCTCTACTACTCCTCAGTCCTCACCGAGCATATATAACTTGGACTAATTACTCAGAGCATCATCCGCAACCGCAAGTAAACATGAGGAGGAGGAGGAGGAGAGTCTTCATCCCCTTTCTCTAAATTTGGTCACAAAAAATTGCCAGGAAAAAAAGCAGCAGAAATTAACTTACAAAATTTGAGCATCAGTCTTGTTGATCGATCATCATCCATGGCGTCATGTCCATGGGGTAGCTGCCGAGCACGCGGAGGAAGGAGGTGAACTCCTGTATCTCCGACAGCGCGGACCTCCGCCATGGACGCCTGGAAGTCGATGTAGAACATGTACTCGAAGTGCTTGGCCGTGCCCACGTTGGCGCCGTCGACGAACTGGATGGGATGGCGGTGGCGGTGTGGCCGGCTCTCGATCTTGGTGAGGCTGATGTCCCGGAACGCGAAGGCCGACAGCACCTTGAACAGCACCGACGTGCCCTCCCTGTCGTGCGCGAACACGATGCTCGTCTTGAATGGCCGGGTCCGTTCGCGGGACGAACCGCGTGACGTTCCCGGCGTCGTCCTGGATGTCGTCGGCGAGCACCTGGAGCCCGTACATTGCCAACAACAATCTGACAGGAAGGATACCATCAGGTACACAACTTGATAGCATCTATAATGAACATCCTGACATCTACAATGGAAACAGTGGTCTCTATGGCTTTCCTCTTCAGAAGAATTGCTCGACTAATGATGTTCCAAAGCAAGGCAGTCCAGAAAAAACTAGAGATAGTTTCCACATCGAACCATTTTTCTTTGGAGTTGTATCGGGACTCATAGTTGGTTTCTGGTTGGTCTTCGTTACCCTATTGCGGAAACTCTTTTCAGCACCTAGGTGCCGCGGCACCTAGGGTGCAAGCCGCAGGATGGCTTTGAGATTCGGACGTACCCCCCCAGTATGCGGCAGTATTTCCCGACGTGGTCGATGTATTTTGGATTTTCTTTTGACTACAGCAATACACCGGTGGGACCCACATAAAGCTGTAACGAGGCGATATACCAGACGCTGGATATGGCACGCCGTCCCCTTAGAGCAAGTCTAACAGTACAACCCACTACTAGCTCCAATTCATCTATAACCAATCTAAAAGCCAATTTATACAATAGTTGCTTACTGTACTATTAATATATGGTCCCACCTATCATACACACAGTGTGTTTTGGAGTCCGTGCTGCAGCTGGCTACAGATCTGTAGCCCGCTGCTCTTCTCTCTCATCGTTTATCTTATTAAAATATGTTTATAGCCGGCTAATAGCCTGCTATTGTACATGCTCTTATCTCGCATTCATTGTAGCTCATAGGCGGCGAATTGCTTAGAGCAAGGACAATAGTGCAGCCAACTGCTTACTCCAATTTTGATCCATCTCAGCTATAGGTAACATTGTAGCCAGTAAATACAATAATCAAGCTATACTACTATGGCCCACACTGTACAATAAATTTTATTCAAGAAATTTTATTTTAATCTCCCTTCTATTCCCACTCTCTCTCTCTCCTAATCCCCTGTTCTCGCCGGCGATTGCTTCTCAGGAACTAGGCATCCAAGCTCACCCATGGCCAAAAAGATGAACAAATTTATGGCTATATAGACATCCGTTTTGTACTATACATTTGCTCATCTACATGAAAGGAATCGGTACAGAACAATATATACACATACCTATGCTACTACTTCGCTTAAGCTATCTGATTTTTCTACAGAAAGATGTTATTCTATTTTCTCCATCAGAAAATAGAAACAACTCATCGTGCAGGCTCACGCTGCCCGTGTAACTAGGGATAGAGCGAACGGGTCACCGGAGCCGAGCTCGTCGTCCGGCGACCGGCGTTGAGCTGGCCTTCTGCACATGGAACGGTGGAAGATAGAAGTGAAGCAACCGGGCAAACCATCAAGCTGATTCATAAGCACAAGGCCTCAAAACTCAATCCAAGCTTTGTGCTCTCTTGGTCTCTCTCTTCTACTTGCTCTCCATGGCCACGGTAGACGAGAGCCGCAACATCGACCGACGAGGGCGAGGGCAACGACATGACGGTGGCAGCCGTGGCCGAGGCGGACGAAGTTGGCGGCGACAGCTGCGGTGGACAAGGTCGGCGGCAGCGGCATACAGAGGTGACGAGCACGGTTGACAAGGACGAGGGTAGCGGTGGTCGCAGTGGACAAAGGCGGCAGCGGCGGCGGACGCGGACGTGCGCGACGATGGCGGCGCGGCCCTGGACTTGGACGCTCCGACGCAGGCAACGGCGAGTAGCACGGGTGCATCGCTTGCTATGGGCGGGCCCACGTCCTCGGGCCATGCATACAGCCGGGCGACTTTAGTCGCCCGCTTGCGCCCTCTCCCCTCCCCTCTCTCCTCCAGCTCAGCATAAAATCCTACACGGATCTCCTATCGCCCATTATTGTATCTGCTCTTAGCAGGTTGCGCGCCGCACAGGCCTCCGGGGGCGCTCGTCGTGCGTACTGGAAGTGACGGCAGCGGCGGCGGCGACTCCCCCCCCAAAAAAAAAATCCCATCCCCACCCACCCCTGGGACATTAGATCTGTTTACTTGCTGATGTTCTTCATTGTGCAGCTAGGCGCCTGTGGTGACTTCGTCAATCTCAAGATATGCCGGCCCAGTCTTCCGGAGGTGCTCATAGGGGTAGGGTGTGCGTGTATGCGTTCATAGGGGTGAGTGTGCGCATGTTGTAAGCGTCTGCGTTTGTACTGTGTTTCTCAAAAAAAAAAAGATGAGCAGATTTATTTGCAGAATAATTTTTAGGGTGCAGCCCGCTGTCATACCAGATCAAGGTTGATTTTGGGGCCTTCCTAAGGAACAAGTACCCGGAGTTTGGTATGCTCTCTTTTCTGAACCATTGCTATTCATACGCAAACCTTAACTCCTGCAAAATTCCTTTCCCTAACACCGGAACTATCAACATCTCTCGCAGATGGATGAGGCAATAGTCGACGACCTTAGTTCACCCAAATGGTTATTTTCTGTGAGGAAAAGATATGATATATGAAATGTGCAACAGGATGGTATCTATGACTACAATCATGTAAAATTTTGTCTCTAGTACTAAAAGAAAGACAAATTTAAGCATTGAAAAAATTCAGAGAAATTTTACCTGAATGTAAATACAATCATGTTACACATCTTAGATTTTTTTTTTCCACAACTAAAATGACCACTTGAGCACGACATAACCATTGGCCAATTAAGTGGGGGATTCCTAACGCGCGCGTACGCGCCGCAAGCGGAAGTCACGCACCCGCTCCGAAGGCCGACACGTACACTGCCCCGTCACTAACGTAGCACTAATGATGATGTGATTAGTGATTACTGCTAATCATAATTAGTACCTACAAGAATTTTTTCTTTTTTTCTAATAGATTGAAAACTTTTGACTTAGGATTTAAACTTTGAAGTTAAATTTTAAAATCTTTCAACTCAAACTTTAAAAATTTTCAACTCAAAATTTAAATTTGCAAGATAAATTTTGAAAACTTTCGACTCAAGATTTTAAATTTGAATTATAAAACATATTTTTTTATTAAAATTATCTTATAATAGAAATTTTGATAACTTTCACTGCATCCTAAATTAATTAAGATAAAGACATAAAAAAAGAAAGACCGTATAGATGCATGCAGGCATGTGTGGGACCAAGATGTATACATGTGTGTAATGCATCTGCACGGGTGGAGACCGAGGTGCATGCATGCATGTGCATCTGGCTTGCCACGTGCGTGCGAGATATGCATCTGGCACTTCTACGCGAGATAGGAATTGCGAATTAAGTGTCCATAGCTCGACTTATAATCAGTTTAATCAGACACAGATACTAATCATTTTGGAGGACGACAAAGGTCTCCTAAACGGAAGATTAACCGCGCACTTCTATTCTGATTTATGTATAATACAATAAATTGTCACATCACTTATCAGACTGCCGTAGTATCCATGATATCCAAATTAATCAACGGAAAGCAGGAATTTTCCTAGAGGGTTGCCGTTGGAGAAAAATTACTAACGAATATTCTTGTCAAGCCAAAAATACAGCTGGTAATATCAAATATAAGGTGCTTGTATATTAAAAGATTAGTTATGATGGGCCTAAAATAAGCTCTAAATATACAAGAAAATCAAACCTAATGATAAATAAGTTAATCAATGAGTTCTGTACAAGCGTCTGGCTAATCAATGGGCTGCAAATCCCAAAAAGGCCCTTCAACCATCGGATGACTCTTCATCATCACTAGGCTGTTCATAAATTTCAAACTCTCCATCACTTGCTTCAGTGTTGTTAGGGGCATCGCCTGGTTTATTTTGGCCATCTTCATGCAGTGGAAAATTGCGCAACATCTCTTCAAGGTATCCATTGGAGAAGCCTTCTCCAGATGTATCTGATATTACACGTCATAGGAAAACTGTCGGGGACCTCATCCACAAGAAGATTGTATTGGGGCAAATATAACTATGTTTAGTAAAAATGAGAGATAATGCAAGAGAAAACAACATTTTTCATAACTAAAATGCAGAGTAGATGTTGCCTTTGTACCATAACCAAAGCAACCCACAAACATTATGGAGTAAAGACACATGGAGTATTGTCTTTGTATGAGAGCACCCACAATGGTAAAGTAAGGTGCTATCTATAAAACATGTACATCTCAGCAATAGACTAGATTAATAGTAAACCACTTCAATGGTATGTCTACATGGGTATCTATAGCTCTCTAATCCATTGCCTCGTTTTTCTCTATAGACTATCTATAGACTATCTCCATGTTAGTAGATAGCTTTGCTCTCTCTTTTCATTTAATCTCTTCCAAGTAGGAAAATATGCTGACATAGATCTCTTGTAGAGAGCTTATAGATAATCATTGTGGGTGCCCTCAGAAATCTACTACTTCTCCACAAGTTCATAATGAACTATTCAAATTACCAACACCATAAATGCAACCTTAAGCTGTTATTCACATCCAATTGTTTCAATGCATATGAACCAATTGTTGCAGAATAAGCGAAAACCTCAGAAGGTTGTTTTTGTTTACTTCACTGACCAACTAAAAACTAATAAAAAGCGAGGATCAGTTTGAAAATAGTAAATCCCTACGATTAAGCATAATCTATCAAGATTCATGTCAAGGATACAGGGATCATCCAAGGTGAAATCAGGGACATCATCTGCCTTCAAGCAATGCAAAAAAGGATTAGTTTCTGCAGCAAATTATGGGAAGTTAGTACGACCATGAAAAATAATGGCATACCATAGGTGGAGATTCATAGCCATCTGACTCTTTATCTTCCTCTTCATCATCCTCCGCATCCTCACTATCAGAGTTGTTGCCACCAGCTTGATCCTCAGTTCCATTATGTCTGTCAGATGCTTCTGGAGAAAAGGATTTAACAACCAGGTCACATGTGGTTAAGCATCTCTGAAAAAAAAAAAACCAACAAGTATCTACACTCATCCATACAAACAGGGAGCCATCTGCCCTGAGCTTTTGGCATGCCTGTCAGAATAAAAGTACAAAACAGTAGAATACATAATCGATAGTTGTGCAACTTGAACCATGATACCCGGCTTTTTCTGAATTTTACTGAACAGCAAATATGTTAAGCCATCCAGAGCAGCGATATGTTCATACTGCTCATATCTCAGAGCATGTCCCCAAAATATGAAATGTAAACCATTATGTTCTGAGTGCCCTATGACCATACATATCGAACAAAATGCATTTTGGTAGTATTGAGAAGACAAAAGGGAATAAACTTAACAATACCCTTATTTTCCTTTAGTTGCTGAGATCTGCAAAGTGCTTCCTGCTTCTTAGACCTTTCAATAAGTTCATAGGCATTCCTCAAAAAGTTTTTGGCATCTTCATTAGGGCATAATGAGAATAACCGTATGCTCAATTGCAATCTCAAGGTTTTAATCATCGGCTTACAAAACCAACCTGTCAAATGCTACACAAGAATCAGTTATTTTTTATTATATAATACATCACTAAAAAAATCTAGTACTCCCTCCGTCCCAAATTATACGGTGCCCCCCTTTTTAAGAAAAATCGAACTTTGTAGCTTTTGACTAATAATCATACTAACTATATCTATACTAAGTATTATGCATGTTATATACTAGATTCATATTTTAAAGTACTTTCATGTGATGCTAATTTCATATTTGTTGGGATCATAGAATGGAATAAAATACTAGTCAAAGTATGTTATTGAAGACCATGTAAAAAAAAATATAGGCCTTATAGTTTGGGACAGAGGGAGTACTAGCTATGAATCAAGATCGTTGGACATGAAATGACCACTGCAAAATTAAGCATGCATGATCTAGACTAAAAGTTGCTGAAGTACAAAAAGCCCTGCTTGCAGCAGCACAAACTAGCCAGGTACTTTCTTTAACAACATACTTGTAATAATTCATAATGAGATCACGATATACATCCTCAAGATCAGCAATAGATCCCAGAACTCGAGTACTCAACAATAAGACTCAACATAGTTAATTCCAATTAAACAGAAAAGATGTATTAAGTATATTTCGCATCCAAAATTTAGTGTCCATAGAAAAATTAATAAGTACATATCTTTCCCCCTTTTATTTAACATTATTTTGAGTCAGTCTCTCAGAAATCAGATATGTTACACCTTTAGAAAACCCTATTGATATATCCTAATAAAATATAATTCATGAGTCATTTAACAAATATCTACTAATATAGTTTCAGATACTGAGTTTGATGACACACATTTGAAAACACCAAAATGAATGGAGGAATTGACAGTTAAGATATGTTCGGTGTGCAGTTTTAGGTACTGTGAAAACCTCAGACACAGTGTCCAGGTAGAACAAACGAGAAAAAGCCTGAACATAGTTGTTTTTGTTACTCACTGAGCAAGTTGGTTGATGAGAAGGTTTTCGAATTTCCGCTTGAATAAAGTCATCCTTCAGTTCAAATAATTGCAGGAAGATGAAACTCTTCGATGGCATCACTTCAAGCTTGCACATCTCTGTCCACTTTTCAGGTCTAAAAGCGCCCAAAAAAACAAAACTAAAGATCTCTGCAATGGAAATGGCCTTCGTATGCAAAGAAAAAGGATTTGAAGTTTTGAACAAAATCATCCAGACACTAAATTTACAACGGACAATGCAATTATCGACACAAATCAAATGAGTCACTGGAGATATTTTTTTCATGGAAATGTGTATGTATTTACCACGATAAAAAAAAGATACAAAACTGTCTTCTTAAAATTACAAATAATGTTATCACAGATATAAAACTAAGCAGAGTACTCTCATTTGTCAAAGATATGATCAATTGTCCACATATTAGTATGGAAAACTAAAAATGATGGTGTGCCAGTTGCTATAGTGATTAATAAGAATATCATTTATAGCATAATGCTGTATCGTAAACCAAAATATAAACAGAAAGGAAAATGAGGATTGGGGCACTAAATTGAGGGAAGATGGAGCAATCGACAGATAATGAACTAGATGTTTATAAAACAATATACTGATATGACATTTCTCAAGCTAAAAGAAGATATCACTCACAGGAAGAAATATTACTAACCTACGCTCCTTCCTTGGAAGATTCCTCAGCTCAGGGGGCATGCGAAAATCAATTCTCTGAAACCTACACCCAAAAACAAAACATTCCAAACAGCTTTTAAAAATGGCAGAAATAAAACTTTCCTCAGTTTAAAGAAAAGTATAGAAAAGAAAATGCCAAATGTTAATCATTTTAAAGCCTCAAATTTCAGATGAAATGGATTTATCCTCCAAACTTCCACATAAAACGAAAGCATACCTAAAGAACCTAAATTATTTTTGGAACCAAAAATCAACATCGGAATTTGGGAAGCAAATCGCAACTTTTGTTTAATAAATTGTCTGCATCAATAATAATTGCTGCATGAACTACAGAAACCTTCCTAAATACTAGACCAATTATTTCTGCATGATTGGTGGACAAGGAGCAGAATAATAATGATCACATAAATCATCCTCTTATTTTGAGTTGGTTCTGAAATTTACAGATAGAAAGGTCAGAGTTAACCAGAACATCTACTGACAATAACATATACAATGAATATATCATTCTATTCCCTCTTGCTCTAATGACAAGGACTTGACTATTTACTGCTATAAACATTACAATGTTTTCAAATTATAATTATGTTTGTACACTCTGCTGGTCCAGAACAGACCATGGTGATGAATCATGGATGAAAGAGAACTACAGCAATGAAATGCCAGAGATATCTCCTTTTTTCCCTTTTGTTTCCTTTTTTTTTTTTTGGGGGGGGGGGGTGGTTTGTGATGGTTCAACCCTAAAACCTTGAGAACTACAGAAACCATATCCCACTAGTAATCATGTCTACCCAATCAATCCTTTACGTTATCATGAGAAAACAGATGGAATGTTGACATCACAATAATGGCTACTCCCTCCGTCCCAGAATATAAGAAGTTTTAGAGTTAGACATGGTTATTAAGAAAGTAGGTAGAAGTGAATGGTGGAGGGTTGTGATTGGATGAGTAGTGGAGGTAGGTGGAAAAAGTGAATGGTGGAGGGTTGTGATTGGTTGGGAAGAGAATGTTGGGGGAGAAGTTGTTATATTTTGGGACAACTCCTAAGGGCTAAAAGTAGTTATATTTTGGGACGGAGGGAGTACCAACTAAGGATGCAGAGCTGCAGGCTTAGTGCTATTACCTGCCTGGTGTGCACTTATGCTATTATTTCAAAATACCAAATCATCATTACAATATTGTTAGTGGCAATGCGGCACATTATAAATTAGTAAACTAGGATCAGAGCAGTTGTTTGACAAGTTAGCTGGAATATAGCTTATGCTGATCCAAATCATCTGATGTTAGCCATGATATAGTCCAATAAACTGGCATCCAGATCCAATTAACTGGCCTGCCAGTTTCCCCGTAACCTGATTAACCCAATCCATCTAAAAAAAATCATCAAACTATACAATTGCAGATTGCAAAGGCAGAAGCACTATTGCTACCGATCCAGAAATCTGTGCTTCACTTGGAGAATGATCTGGTAAGACACATTATTTTTCTTGTCACTTGTGCATTGTACTTAATTATTCTATTATTATCTTAATCAATGGTCACTTTTATGCTTCCATCTAAAAAGGGGAACATGAGAAGCATTACGTACAAAACACACTTTTTCTGTCTATAATAATGCAATGGAAAAAGGTGCCAAATAAATAACAATTACAAAAGGAGGCCCATGCTTACATTCGTGAGTCTGGGTCTTTTCGAGGATCATATCCTCTTCTGATCCAGAATTTGCCGAAAGGACCAGTAGAAAAGTAATATCCAGCTCTAAAGAGAAGCCTGAGCAGATAAACAAAACATACCCAAGAGAAAGAATGAATGAAGAACATATCAGATGGAAAGGCATATCCAAAATAATGATGGAATTGTACAAACAGAAAGGAATAATGAGACCTTTTGAATTGGCTTTGTGAGATCTGCAAACCATCATCAATCAAACATTCATAAAGTGACTGCCTTGGCCAAACAGGACGCTCATCAAACATTTTGCACACAGCCATCTGCCAACCCCACTCTGCTGAATTTTTCGAAATGTGGTCTTCCCAATTAATCTTTTCTGGAACAGGTAAGGGCCAATTATGGTAACAAAGAACACAGAACAATATTGCCAATTATATCATAATGAAGGTACTAAAGGCCTTGAGATCTAGGCTTATTTCCCATCCCCTATCTCTCAAGGCCTCAAGCACAAGCCAGGCACGAACACACTCCCATCGCATAAACCGCCCCAGGCAGCTAACCCCCAACTCATCCACCTGATGGCTTAGCGTCATGTACTGTGATGTGCCGATACTTCCAAAAAAGTGTGTATCCGTGTAATGACATGTCCAATTCTGACATGTCTCCAACACGCCTCCGATACATGTCAACCAAGTATCAGCCAATTAAACAGCAAAATAACTAATTTAGTTATCCGAAACACCATCGACACTTCTCTGCATGTGACATGGCCTGGCCCATTAAGCCACATACTAATCATATCCCTGTAATGCAACTATGCTGGCTTTCTTAGCTACTCTAGAGTGAAAGCACACTTGCTGAAAAAGAAAGGTGAATCCAAATATGTCATAAGGTAACAGTACCTATTCGTAAGGTAAATGGAATTCTAGGATATATATATGGCCATGTATTGACTGAATTCTAGGCACTAAGGATCATCATTGAGGCACATTTTCCTTGCTTGCAGTGCATTGTTTTTTTATATTGGTGACAAACAATTGAGAATTTGAAAAAAATATATATATTATTTTTAATGAAAATATGAAGCGGTGTCGCTGTATCGGCATTTTTTTGGAAATTGGCAACTTCCTGTATCAGTGTCGTACTGTGCCTCATCGATGTATCTGTCATGTCCATGCATCATAGATTCATGGGTCACGTGACTCAAAAACCAAGCCATCTCAACCCCAGCTCAATATAAGGCCTGCTCATGTTCTACCCCATGGCTCCAAGGGAAGTAAGCAAATTGCTTTCTTATTTTCTAGGTTGCTTTTTTTTTGCTCAATTTTCTCCATTCACCTATATGTTTCCAGTTAGTGCCCTGTGCCCTTGGAAATACTAGTGTCAGTCTTGTTAGTTTTCTCTGTGGGTCTTGCTTTCTTGCTTGCATGATGTACAAGTACAAATTGAAGTGATGAAACATAATTTGATAAAAACCAAATACTGCACCAAATTACTTCAGCAATTTGGTGTGGTATATATTTCCTAGAACCCAAAAAAGAATTTCCAGCCCTATTTAGAGTTACACCTTTGCTTAGGAAATCTATACTCGATGACTTAAGCCCATCATTACAATATAGCTGTTGATTATGTTGAACCTACCCCGAGATTATATGTCAGTTTGTGGTAACTAAGCTGTGCTTATTCCAGATCATCTTTGAAAATCAACTGCAAACAATTTAGTAAGAATTGGATTGATAAATCATATTGATCGGGTTGGTTTAGCCAATTCTGCTATGCTTTGCTTGAACCTCTGATATTTCCACTCACTGATTTTATTTTCTTAAACAAATATTGTGCCCTATATGAGTAGAAACAGAACAATATCTTTAGCTGCAATTTGGTTTAGAAAAAAGTAGTGCCTTAATGTAGATTTAACCATCAAGCTCAAACTCAGTGCTAAATAAAGCACTACTTGTTAATATCACTTTATGAATAATCCAAAACAAACAGAGAACTACGATGCATGAATTCATTCTTCTGATTGGAAAATATCCCTCAGGAGCACCTTAATTTATCTTTAGAACTTTGCCACTCGGCCAAAAATGGGAAGCTATTAGAATGTTTAGTTACGAGGACAACCTCTGATTCAGTGATGGACCAACGCATCTTGTCCTCCAGAACAAGAGGGTCTTAGAACCAACATATTCCTAGTATCAAAGAGACAAAGAAGATCCCATATCTCAACTAAGGCTATATAAAATAATATCCTTCCCAAGCAAGAAATTCTCCATATATCATTTTTGTTCTATTTCGAATTTTCATTCCAGACAACCCCCCCCCCCCCCAAATAAAAAAAATAAAAAAAAAAGTGTGCACGGTACTCTTTTGGCTTATCTTTATTTTTATTTTTTTTCTTGCCAACAACTATTGAGGCCAGGAACATATATTTTCAAGGGAAAAAGGCAAACTTGACAGGACAACAGTAGAAAAGGATATCTTGAACATTGAAAGGAAGTGCAAGGGTTGGTCCAATATCCATCTGTTAATAAAGAAACATACACACAATTAAAATTCAGTCAACAAGCCAATTCGAATTGTCAAGAACTCAAGATCTCAAATGAAACAAGCCACAGAGAATAAATAAGCATAAGAACAATTATTTTGTATCATTTCATAGTATAGTTTCTATGCTAATATGTTGTGGATACTCCATCAGCTGTCAGTAAGCAGCTGAGAACAAGCAATATACCAAGTTTTATCCCTTAAACCAGTGTATACTGTTTAAAACATTTCAGAATACTGGAGGTGGTTTGTGCCCAATTCCCCTTATCTTAGCATGAACAAAAAATGTCCATGAACCCAATTGCACAGATCACATGGGACCATACCATCACAACTCCTGCATCTCTGTCATGAGCCTGAGTATTTTATATTTGAAGAAGAGAATAGACGGATAAAAACATAGTTATATTTTGGACCAGAGGCTTCTGCATAGAGAGAATCAATTTCCATGGCAAAGCAAGGGTTCACAATCCTAGTTGGCCATAAACTGGAACTCAAACAGAAGCAGTTTGTTTCAATCAATTGTATCCACTGTGTTTTAAATGGAGACAACACTGTGATCCTAGCTCACACCATAATTCTAGCATGTATTACAAAGGATATTAGAAAACTAGACGCTCTTACAATATAGTGAGATAACAAAAGAATGAAGTTCTGCCTCCATTTCGTTTACAAGGCATATTGAGGAGATCATCAAACTAAGAAAGTGGTAGAAGCAAATGGCCCTGCTATTCATAGCATTAATGCTTCAGTAATAGTAAACAGACTAGTTAGTGTGGTTGTTTCAATAATAAGGGTTGGAAAGGGAGGGATGATAAAGGAGGTAAAAGCAGAAAAAAAAAAGTACATTAAATGCACACGCACACTATATATTTTGGAAGGAGCTCATAAAGTTAGTAGGGTAGGTTTTATTTTGAAATGGGCGTAGTGGAAATCAAGATGGCTAAGTAATGCAGAGCCATGTAAACTACTGGGTCTACCCTGGTAGTAATTTCCATTAAAAAAAATGCAGAGCCAAGTAAAGTTTACCCGCAAGATAAAAAACATAGGAGAAATTTACAGTTATATGCACCAGTAGATACTCATGTGCCCCCTAGAATCATGTAACTAAACTAGTGTGTGCAACGATGACAAACCTCCCATCGATGCTGTACAACTCCCCTTTGCATGCTTTTGGACAATGCATTAGACGATGGGAGAAGCCTAAAACAATTCCATCAAACAATATTAGGCAATAATATTGATAAATCATTTTTTAGTTACAATATGCTACAGATACAGAAAAGTAGAGTTCTACGCAGCTTTCACTTCTGTTACTATTTAACTCTGATTTCAGTTATGCAAAATGGTTCTCTATATACTAGAAGAGGCACAATGGTAACTCTAGAAGATTTGTAGACTACTAAACTTCACTACATGGAACGAATGCCCTTTTCAAGCAAGTGCACACGCATAATTTATTTTAGCATTACAGAAAGGTTAGGGAGCATGTAGAAAATCAGAGTACTTCTGAAAATAGTCAGTTACTGTTGATATTTTGTTGAGGATTAGTGATGCAACAAAAATTGCTGTAGAACTGTAGGAGGCCTATGATGAGTTCTACTAAGGACATTTGGGCTTAGGCAAACAAAAGGTAGTTTGTAACAAGAAAAGCCAGTCACTATCCAGGAGTTAATTTTTGTTATCATGCACATACTGCAATTCTTACTTCTCTGTCAATACAGACTACCCATTTCATTACTCATCCAAAAACAAGATCGAAAAAACTGTGCACACTAAATCTATAAAGGTCGCGGTGATTAGCCTTGCCTCCAAGTTGAACACTTCTTTCCTCAAAACTTTTCAACCATAAAAGCCATGATTAATATGCTCAAAGATCATAGATATGCAAATCCAACAGAATTTTCAGGCATATTGCAACATGGTGCATCAGATAATGTGCAAATCCCATTTGCTGTTCCATGATGTGTAAATCAAGAGGGAATTACATTCACACTCATATTGAAGGACTATTCTTACCTTTTGAACACTAATATAAGAAGAGTTAATAAAAATTATAAAACAATATTCAATTCCATTTTCTAACTATGTAGTTAGTGTTACTTACGCTATCTTTGTTGGTTTATCCTTTATTGAGAAGAGTGGTGGCACTAACATCATGACATCTTCATTATCTGTCATCCAGGAGAGGAAATAAACAATTAAGATATATTACTATCAGGCATTGCATGTGAAAGTACAGGATCAGAAGGTAAGCTACCGTTACACAAATGTTCTTTATTATTTGGACACTCCGGATGTTTTCTTTTTCTCGTTTCTGCAGCATGCACTGGAACAACATGCTGAAAATCTGCCATACCTGCATAAACATGTATATGAGCACATTTTCATCACAAATAGCCATTGATTGAGAGTGACTTTACAAGAGGAATAAGTTTGTGTGTGTTTAGTATCATAGAATTTATAACTTTAATTTTACAATTACAACCACAAGGGTTGACAAGTGAGACAGTCAAACAAGACAAGTTTTATACAGTGTCACATACATAGAGTATTTTAACTCAATTCTGATTTCAGAAGATAGGAGAAGTTCTTGAGGCAATAAGAAACCTCTCAGGACACATTAAGTAGAACAGACTCATTTGGGTGCCTTTCATTGGGACACTTTTTAGAATTAGTGCTTCATATAGGGTCCTTTGTGCAAAATTCCTTATCCTATATATGTGCAAACTTACAGATTTTGCCTCCTGTATATCAAATAAATCATTTTTTTTCTCTTACCACTAAGGAATGTCCTATTCTCATTCTCACCACTAATTTTATGTGAGTTCACACTTATGCAAACCCTAGTGGCCTTCTCAAAGATGCCGTTCAATGGGGTTTGATCCTTAGAAAATTGAACATGAAAGTTAGAAAACAGGAAAAAAAATAACTCATATAGGATTCTCAAGAAGATTACAAAAAAAAATAGTTGAACAAGCAAATTCAAACAAACAATTTAGTTGTGAAGAATACAGAAGGAAGTTTCCAAGAAAAAGTACACTGTAAACAACTTTTTGATTTTCTTTTGCTTTTATAGAATATTGTTAAAATTTAACTAGCATAAAGATATTAGTGTTTTTTTTAACTCTTTTCACAAGTTATACCTGTTTTTTCCCCCATACATTTGAAAGCCACGATGACTTAAATGGATATTCCTTGGTTATTTTTCATATTTCAAGAAATAAATTCAATTTCCCTACAGAACAAAACCATCTAGCGGAGAATGGTTTTCTTTGATGTTTTAAGGAAATTTTGGTTTGACGTATTGAGAAGACCCCTAACGAGTACCTGGACACACCCCCAAATCATTCTAACATAAACAACTATTTTGGTGTGGTCCTTAAATAATGAAGATTTTTTTTTCTGAGCATCCACCGAGCAAGCTTGTTTAGATCTTCCATGAAGTAAACTCGGGCCAACTGTTCTAACAGGACAAGCACACAACACAACAGCCACTCTACAAGTGAATGAAAAGACGAGGCATTTCATCAAACAGGTGGCGCTCAGCGCGCTGACCTTCGAAGTGGTAGGCGTTCCGGACACGCGCAACCACCTCGGCGCGCGGCGGCGCGGTACCGCCCTTGGGCCTGGAGAGGCGGAGCACCAGGCCGGCGGACATGCGGGGCTCACCGAAGGCCGGGTGGCAGTAGGGATCCTCGGGGCGGAAGCGGAGCTCGAGGCGGGCGCCAGGGTCGGAGCCCCTGACCTACGAGGGAGCAAAAAAAAAAAAGGGCAAAGCCGCAGTCAGCCACGCCCCGCCGCGCGCAAGCCCGCAAGAGAGGCGTTCCGAGTCGACGCACCTTGGCGATGGCGGGGAGGCCGCCGAGGGTCTGGGCGGCGCGGGCCGGGGAGGACGGGTAGCCCGGGTAGTGGACGGCGAATGCCTCGGCGGCCGGGATGGTGCCCGAGACGGCGCCGCCGGTTACAGTGGACGGCGAAGTCGGCGGAGGCGGCGCCTCGGCGTCGGGGAGGGAGGGGGAGGAAGGCGGTGACGCCATCCGCGGCTAGGTGGGGAGCGGGGGAAGAGAGAGAGAGAGAGAGAGAGAGAGAGAGAGAGAGAGAGAGAGGAGAGCGTGCGCCGCGGGTTACAGTGATCACACTTCTGATATGAAATGTTGGCGGCGGCGAGGGCGGTGCGGGAGGCGAGGCGGCGGCGCTGCTTCGGCCGTGCTCGCCGAACGGCGACGGGGAAGCGGCGGCGGAAGGGGTGGGTGGTTACATGCCGAGGGGTATTTTGGGGTAGCGGACAAGGACGCGAGGAGAGATCCCTGGACCCTGGTTCCTGGATCCAAGATCCTACGGCCAGAAATTTAGTGACTTTTTATTTAAATAATATATATAGTGAGCCATAAAACACCCAGGGCCTGTTTGGCTAAGGGCAAGCACAATAAGGACTAATCAACCTACTATTAGCCCGTCCAGGTCATCACAATCCGAGCTGGAGGACAGAGAAAGGAAGAGAGAGAAGAAAGCGGGCGCTTGTTTAATCGACAGCTCGGCACGAGCAACAAGATGGATGGAGTAGGCGTGGAGACGATGCAGGAGCCGATGCCGTCGACAAATAACGCGCTTTCTTGGCCTTTTGCATCCCATGCTCCATGGCTCATTCCTTCTCTGTATATTTGGCGGTAAATCCCCATCCGCCGGAAAAAAAATCGCACTTCACGCGCCAAATTAGTTAGTCGAAGCGTCAAATTCCTACTGAAATACCCCATCCAGTTAGTAATCCCTCAACTCAATCTGCTGAAACAATGGGTCGCTCGAAACGGGAGGTTGCGCTGCCGCCGCCGCCATCTCCGTCGCAAGCCTCGCCGGGATCCTTCGCATCTGGCATGATGTTACCGGGATCCTTAGGCAGTGGTGCCTGGCAAGGTCCGGCGCCACTGCAGCCGCCGCACCCTTTGCTCTACGCGTATGGCGCCGCTGCTTCTGCTTTTCCCATGGCCCAAATGAAGCAAGGATTGGATCGTAGTGCCATTGATTTGTCAGATCTGCAAGAACGGTATGTACTTTTGATATTGAATAGTTTTGGATTGATTTGCTCCGGAAGTTCCGTGTACCTCCATGTTGATTAGAAAATTAATGGTGTTGACTAGCTAAGTTTGATTCTTGCCGTATTCTAGTTTTCCCCTCAAGATCTGATCCGCTGCTAGCAGATTAGCATATCCCCTGCTAATATGTCAAAAGAATCAATGTGTACATCTGTTTCTCATACTAAAGTTAAGTCTTGCTATATTCGGAAAGGGAAAAAATTTTGTGGCAAGAGAATAACTTGATAGTAAGCAAGGGCTACAGATACATATAGATTTATTTTATAGCAAAAACTAGTGTACATAGGTCAGTGCATGGCCAAATTTTTTTGTACTAATCTACACATACACTTTGAATAATCAAGAACTCTTACTACATAGGTAGTGAACAGACAAATCAACTTATCTACAAACACAAAAATAGTAACTTTATATGGCATGAGAATTATTAGTATCATAGGCTGTGCTTTGTCAAATTTTAATGTACTCATTTACAGATGAAGAGAAAAAAAGTGATAAGGATGTTATATGGCAATAATTTTGGATCTCTGTCTTTTTCTTGCAGTGGTATGGACTTTCATCCGCCTGGTGGTTTCTTAAGTTACTTTCAGGATCCATCAATTTTACAGAATCATCGACCTTTTGTGCCTCCAAATTATTATCCTGCTGAACAAGTAGCACCATGTTCAAAATTACATCCAGGAGCACAACAACCTGTCAACATTGATAGTGGTGATGAAGAAGCCCCCAATGTTAGGACTGAGAAGCGGTTGACATGGTCAACAGAGGAGGACATAAGACTAGTAAGTAAATAAGGATGTAGGCAATGAATCGTGTTTTCTCATTGACTGTTACTTTATTTCTAGTATAGGACTAATCATGTTTTGTTTTGATTATAGGTGAGTGCTTGGCTAAACAACTCGAATGATTCGATCAGTGGTAATTTTAAGAAAAATGATTGTTATTGGGGAGATGTTACTGCTGAGTATAATAGCACCACTCCCAAAAACAGGACAAGGCAAGAAAAACAAATCAAAGACCGTTTTCATAAAATTAAGAAAAATGTTGGCCGTTTCTGTTGTGTTTATAAAGAGGTTAAATCCATATATGTTAATGGACAAAATGATATGCAACTCAGGGAAAAGGCTGAAGCAGCATATCAAGCAGATTACAAGGAAGGCCCATTTTCATTTCTGCATTGTTGGAACATTCTTCGTGACCAACCAAAGTGGCATGCTTACTTGGAGGAACTTGAGAAGCCAAACAAACCAAAGATGGATGATGAAGTGGAAGTGATGGAGCAAATGTCCACTCCTAACAGTCCTGAAGATATTAAACGTCCAGTAGGAACAAAAACTGCTAAGGCGCAACGTAATGGTAAAGGCAAACGCAAAAGGAAGGCAAAGGTTTATCTATCAGATACTGATGATGAAATTGACAAGCTTAAAGAAGTTCAGGAGATGGCAAATAAAGGTCGTGATGAACTACTAGAGACTCAGAGGCATGTTGCTAGTGATAACCTTGAATCAAAAAAGTTAGCGCACCTTGCAGCCATGGAGCACAAGGAGGCTGTTATGTTGGAAACATATCGGTCTCTCATGTTACAAGATACAAAAGATATGCCTGATGATGTTAGATCCGAGCATTTGATGGCATTGAAGTGTATGAGGGAGAAGTTGTTTCCGTAATACTAAGGTATCTTCACGTTCCAGTCTCTAATTAAAGCTTGTTGTATTTTTTTTTACTTGCTGTAATTGAACTTCCTGCAAACATATATATGTTTCTTGCACAATTCAAAGAGTTGCAAATATTGATGTAATCTAACTTGTAATATAGTCAGCATGTAGCTATTATTTCCAGAAAAACATGTAGTCAAGTCAGCAGTTGCAAAATTAACATGCAGTCAAGTCAACAATGTGCAGATAAACATGCAGTCTTGAATTCCCAATAGTCTAGTTAATAGTAATTCAAATAAACATGCTCTGTGTATGCATTCCCAATAGTCTAATTAATAGTAATCCAAATAAACATGCTCTGTGTATGCATTCCCAATAATCTAATTAAGGGTAATTCAAATAAACATGCTACTAGCTAGTATGCATTCCCAACAGTGTACTGTTGGCCCATATATATATATATTGGTCTAATGGTGCTAACTATCCATCCCTCTGCCATTCCTTTCAACACTTCTTTCCCATTCCTTTCAACACTTCTTTCCCATTCCTTGCACCCCTTGTCTCCACCATGTCTCCAGATGATTCTGGTGAATTAGATCCTTCCAAAATTATAGACCAATACATTGTTGAGCAGAACCTCATAGATTCTTTTGCAAGAAGGGTCATGGAAAAGATCAAGACCAAGCTTAGAATTGGAAAAATCAGAAGGAAGAGTGTGACAAGGAAGACAATCAAGACGGATCACACAGTAGCACATCATTGTCTCATAGCTGACTACTTCAGTGAAGACCCTCTTTACCCTGAGAGCATGTTCCGTACAAGATTTCGTATGGGAAGACCCCTTTTTCTTCGCATAGTGAGTGCCCTTGGAAGGTGGTCTCCTTACTTTACACTAAAGGTAGATTGCAGTGGTCGCCAAGGGCTCTCACCTTTACAGAAGTGCACAACTACAATGCGCATGCTAGCGTATGGCAGCCCTGCTGATAGCCTAGATGAGTACCTTAAGATTGGCAAGAGCACGTCCTTGCAGTGCTTGGATATGTTTGCACGAGGGGTGATTGAAGTATTTGGTTCAGAGTATTTGCGACGTCCCACATATGAGGATGTGGAGCGTATACTTCAAGTTAATGAGTCTAGGGGCTTCCCTGGGATGCTAGGCAGTATTGATTGCATGCATTGGAGGTGGGAAAAATGCCCAACAGCATGGAGAGGGCAGTTTACCCGCGGTGACTATGGAGTGCCAACAATTATCCTCGAAGCGGTTGCTACTCGTGACCTCCGCATATGGCATGCTTTCTTCGGTGTCGCGGGGTCAAATAATGACATCAATGTGCTGAACCAATCCCCACTATTTCTTGATGTGCTGAAAGGGGAAGCTCCTAGAGTAAAGTTTTCTGTCAATGGTAATGAGTATAACACAGGATACTACCTTGCTGATGGAATATATCCAGAATGGGCTACCTTTGTGAAGTCAATAGCTGCTCCACAAACAGGGAAGCACAAGCTATATGCACAGTATCAAGAAGGGGCAAGGAAAGACGTGGAGTGTGCATTTGGGGTCCTGCAGTCCCATTTCAATATTGTGCGCCACCCAGCACGGTCATGGAAACGGAAGAGTGTTGGGAGAATCATGAAAGCTTGTATTATTCTCCATAATATGATAGTTGAAAATGAAAGAGGGGGGGGTTAAAATTCCTATTGATCTGAATGTGGACCCTGGAGCATCGGTTGCTCTTCCTCCTGAAGTAACTACTGGGCACAATCCATGCTTTGATCAGGTGCTACGTAGGAAAGCTGCAATACGTGCTCGTGCACCACATTCCCAACTAAAAAAAGATCTGGTTGAACATATTTGGCAAAAGTTTAGCAATACCAGTCGTACTTAGTTGTGGTAGGACATTAAGCATCTTGTTTTCACAGTTTCAATTACAATTGCAAGCATCTTAATTCACTTATCATTTTATTTATTTATTTCAGGGACAATGGAAAACTTTGGTGCTAGCTTTTTGGTGCTTTCTGCTATGGTTTTGGGAGGTATGTACATGTCTACTTGCACTGTACAGTCCAAAGAACAACATAATCAAATAAGTCCTTTAATAGTCCTTTTGTTTCTACTTAAAATAGCAGTACTACTTCCTTCCAGTTGTTTTGCCATCCAGATTATATGCTACAATTGTTCTATAATCGTTAGCCTCCTATTTTCCATGGAAATAATGTTGCTTTAATGACAGGTAGTGAAGGTGCTCAATTTGGCAGGTTGGCAGCTTGTTTTGGTTCTGCTTGAGAAAGATAATCTAGTTATAAAGTAATTTTTAGTAATTCGCTGGTGTCATGTAAGAACACTTGTGTTGTTACCATCTATTGGCAGTATGGATCATTGTAATGGCCTAATTTCTTTTGTCGAATGTTGATGTATGGATCATTGCAACAGACTAAGTTATTTTGTCGGTCTATGAATTAGTTATTTGTCAATCTGTGAACATTCTTTCGATCAAGTAACAATCTGAATCACTATTGTACTGTTTAGTTCGAATGAATTAGGAATATTACACCATTGTTGTTGATAAATCCGTCTGCTTTGTGATAAATCACATGATTTATTTCTTTATTGATTGAACATAGTCTTCCGTCTATGGTTGACATATAAGTGGCTACTCAAGTGATGTTTACAGTTGATCCTACATAACTTGAAAGATACAATTAGAGAATTAAATGCAGCTTGCTTTGCTAGAGACGGCTTAGAGACAACATGTATTATATTATTGTAAATGTCGTCTGTTAAACCATCTATAGATGATATAGAGGATACTAATAGTAAGATGTTTACTCTATTATTGCCCTTGCCCTAGTGGGACTGGAAAATCATTTTCCATCCACTAAAAGACATCTTTAAATCCTAACCCTTCATTCTTCCTCTTTCATTTAATCTTAGCCCTTTATTCATTTCTCAATCCCAATCTTAATCCCAACCCACATTTCTCATTATCCAAACAAACCCCTAATGTTTTTAGTAATGTTCAAATAGCTGAAATAGGATTTATTTTTCATTTAAATTCCTTCTATTAATTTTTAAGATAAATCATCTGATTATTTTTTACGAAGTTATAGCTCGCCTATTAGAACATGACAATTGGGGACCACTCCAAGGTATTTTTTTCAGGAGGTAGCTACCAATCTACTCTCACTTGGATAATTATTAGTAATCACTTTTTTTTATGAAGGTAGTATACAACTTGTATTAAACTGGTAAAAAACATGTGCATGGCGTGGTGGCTACTGGCGTGCACTGTGCTTGCACTACTCAAGTCATGAGTTTGATCCCTCCTCATGCATCCACAGAATTTTTCCTCCTCCCCGCACGACAAATTTGGAGGAAAAAAAGTAAAATAAAAAACCTCCTCGATGCAATCTAGTACACAAATCAAAATATTTGAAAAAAAAATGTGTGCATGAAATGTAGCAAAACTGACCCGAGTTCTTTAGAGCAAGTACAACAGAGAGCGGTTCGTTGGTGACAAGATGGATATTTAGTCTTCAAAGCCAAGCTGAAGGAGAGAGCGCGAGGTGAGAGATGTTGAGCTGATGATTAAATTATTGCCTGCTTCGCATGCGCTCCAAGAGCGCCGCAGCTTGCCTTTCACCAGGTCGGAGCCGATGTCAGCAACACCCCCATGCAGTTTATGGGGCCGTTCAACCATCTATGCAGAACGGTCCTAGAGAAGTGGCGGTGCGGCCATCTCAAACAGAGACGTTGAGTAGGAGTCAGGAGGGAAGAAGCAATAGAGAGAAGAATGAACCAGGAGGTGCCCATCAACCCATGCCCTTGAAGCTCCGCAAATCCATTGCCGGCACTCATCTACTTTATACCATCGTGCAAAGTTGCCTCTCTCCTCTGCACTTCGCTGCTAGAACTATGGCCCCGCCTAGGCTTCACCACAAAGGGTGAAAGGTGCTCGTAACTCCTGTAGACGTCACTGCGAGCAAATCGATGATCGATAGGAGTACTAGTGTATTCACTGTGTGTTTATCAACTCCTGTAGCCGTCACTGCGAGCAAATCGGTGATCGATAGGAGTACTAGTGTATTCACTGTATGTTTAGCAAATCTAAAAGGAGGAATAGATAAAGCTGAGAGAAAGGGACCGCTTCATCATTAAAAAAAAAGAAAACTGCATAGGCATCTGTGTAAGGTAAATAGTTGTAGATAGTCACTGTATTAATCGGCTATTTTGTGCTTGGTACAAAAGCGGATGTGTGTAATTTTAGCATCGGTAGTTAGCTATATTATTGATCTTGCTCTTATAGTGCATTGTCTCAAGCCCTTGTCCCTCGTGATTGGAGTAGGTTGTATTAGACATATCATAATGTAACAAAATAATTATATGTTTCTTAACCTTATGTGCTTAGAGACAATATGCGAATGTGCCCGCAACGGGGGCTAGGCCTGCTAATGGTTTGGACTAAAATGGTTTTATTGGATTAGTTTTAAGTTTAGCTAACTTTAGATAAGTGTAAGCTGACTAAGGTGCAAATAGTCTAAAGCAGTTTGGGTGGGAGGTGGAAATGGTCTAGATTGGAGTGGTTTTGCCTGCAAGAACCATGGGCCTAAAATGGTTTCATTGTATAGATCCACACTAGGATGACAAAGTAGGCTCACCATCTCTTTCTAGTTTTCTAGTGTGGCTCATAGTCTTCCACTTCGGTCACCCTTTACTTTGCCCAACGGCCCTTCGTGTCCTTCCCTTCCTCAAATCCCCAACATATTTGCCCCAAAATCCCTATTAATTCGACAACAATACAGGCAATGCGAGTTGTGGGACAGTAGCCAGCAACTCGGTAAATAAAGCGGAGAAGAACGTAGTAGCCACCATTTAGGAAAAATAGGTGAGATTCTCACCATTGAAATATGAAATACTAGTATTAGTAATTGAATGGATCATTTCTCAATATTTTCTTTGCAGCATTTAGAACCACATTTATGGATTTCTTTTGGTTTGGGATTGGTTTGAGAATAGGTTCAACCCATTTTCTTGCTTTAGGGCTGCTTCGGAGGGCCAGCTGCAACTGTACTGTACCTCCGTTCGGCTACAATGTTGAGTTTGTGCCGTAACAAAAAAAAACCTATTTGTAGGAGACAACGTGTTTTATATTGACTTGTTGTAGCCACTGTTGTTATACATTATACCTATGAGCGTGTTTGGTTACCTGCACCAACCTTGGCTCGCACTGTGGATGAAGTGAGTGAGCTGTTTGGTAAGATGTACGCACGAGAGAACCCGTACAAAGCGGATGCAAAAGTAGCCCCCGACTCCCTAAGTCGGCTGAGGTGGAATGCCCAAAACGAAGACAACTCATGTACAGCCATCGAAACATCACCCCTTTATCATCCCATTGAGTTCATAACATCACCCCATTATCATCCCATTGAGTTCAGGATCAATCAGTTTGACCAACCAAACAACTTCAATTGCACCCACTCATTTAGGCCACAATCAATTTAGATGGCTCATGAGATGCACTTAATATGGTAGTGGCAAGGGGTATGTGGTTTCAATCCTAAGATCCCACGTTCAATCCTCAACATGCTCACAATTTCTTCTTAAAAAATATTTGGAGAGATGCTTCTCCCTCTATATATATATTTTTATCAAGGTCATACAGGTAAGCTACATTAGTGATACTCTGCTAGCATTTTTTTACACTATGCTGCTTCGGAACTGCCCCTTTGGTTTGGGCTGGTTTCGATTAGCATTTTTTTTACACGCGGTTTGGATGAGCTTTTCTACTTGGAGCGGCTTTAGTTTGGATTTTGCAAGTGATTGTCGGTTTGGAGCGGTTTGGTGGTGATAAGTTAGGACCTTCCTCATCGATTAAGGGGGCCTCACTTTAGTCCCTCCAACCAAACACCACCTAAACATTTCCAAGTGGAATTAGGCCTACAACAAGATTGGTCAACGGGCCCGGCCCATGCCATCTCCAAAAGTCCACTCCTCGCCTTCGTTTCTCCTCCCCCATTTCGTCCCTACCTGCTCCTCACCAGATCCTTCCGCCGCCGCCGCCGCCATGTGGAGGGGCGGCGCGACCGCCGCCTCCGCCGCGAGGGCTCTCCGCTCGCGCCTGATCCCCGACACGTCCCACCACCCGGCCACGGCTCTAGCTCCCATCGCATCGCCGCGCTCCTCCTCCTCCTCCTCCTCCTCGTCTGCCCCCACCATCGCCGCCGCTGTGCCCGCCGTCGCGGAGGCTACGGCGGCCGCGGCCGCTGTTTCGAGGCAAGCTGGATCCGTCTCCGACGCGCTGAGGCACTACGGGAGGTGCTACTTCGAGCTCTCCAAAGCCCGCCTAAGGTGTGCGCAGTTTGCTCCCTCTCCCATGTTTGTCGTAGTAAATTTAGTTCAAGTGGAAAAAAAAACACACGCACCTTTCCAGTTGATGTTTGTGCGTTTCTTGCAAATAGCTCTGTCTTGTCTTCATTTTGTTGTCTAGGTAAAATGGAATTACCTCCTTTCTTTCATCTTTCATCAATAAGGTTACTTTCAACTCTTATAATTGAATTGGAGTATTGGGATAAATGCTATGTATATTTAGTTCTTATGGTTGTGTTCTAACTTCTAGGATGCTAAAAACTTTTTTGCGGTCTTTCATTAGAGTAGTCAAACCTTAGTATATGACTATATGCACTGAAGTTCCGTTTATCACAAAGGAGTAGGAGCTCATTACTACTTATTGATATGTATACCATGTAAGAATTAAGGCCATTTCATTTAAATTGGTATATTAAAATGTGAATCCTGACCCCTTGAGGGCTGTGCCAAATCGACCCCTTCTTTTATTGTCCTCTGCCAACATATGGTGCTCCATTAAGCAAATTAGCTTATTGTAATTCTTCTCAGGGGCGAAGCCAGGAAAAATGGTCACCGGGGTCTACTAACTAATGATACTAACAGTAGATCTATAGCTTGCAATGACCTAAGACTATGCATAAGATAGAACTAAATTAACAGTGGCATATTATGATAAAATAAAGTCTGTTGCTGTAGTGGTTACCTCTTACATGTTACAAATCTTGTCTACGGCTCCTATCCTCCATCTTGTGAAAGCCAACAACCACATCATTATTTAGAATTGAAGCTAGCATTTCCGGCTCGACGAAACATATGATACGATCATTCATAAATTGATCACCAATACGATTCCGTAGAATTTACTCCACCACAATTCTCATTATCACCATGGGGGGTATTTTTGTTTTCAAGAATCAATCCATCATAGTTTTCATGCCTATGAAATAGTTATAGAACAAGATTGATCAGGAACACAATTACACAATATAGACAACAAATGCATAAGCAGCCACTCTTAGCAAAACCACTAATTTCTTACCATCCGTTATGCTGGGAAGAAAAAGAATTATGAATATATGATTCAATCCTCCTCGTTCACGACCATCAGGCATCAGGCCATGTAACAGAAGTCTGAATAAATTGAAAAGTGCATATTTCAGAACCCTAAATTCCTAAGATTAGG